AGACAACACGTATTACAAGAAATTCAGTACCACACTAGCGCCATACCTAGTCAAAGCCTACTCACAAGCTACAGAACATAGAGTTCTACCCCCTGAGATGCTGACTGCACACATAGTTACCTTGCCCAAACCAGGGAAGGCACCCACAATCCCACAGAACTTTAGACCCATATCCCTTCTAAACACAGACGCCAAAAACATACGCGCTGAGGCTAGGGTCTATACTGCCCGAAATTATCCATAATGATCAAGTAGGCTTTATCAAGGGGAGGCAGGGATCGGATAACACGAGGAAAGTACTAAATATCTTACATTGCCTCCGCAAACAGAAACAAGGGGGGCTGATGGTCTCCCTGGACGCAGAGAAGGCCTTTGATCGCCTAAACTGGACTTTTCTGCGGGCAGTGTTAAAAAAGTTTAGAATCCTGGAGGGGTTTGTCTCAGTAGTAGAAGCCCTGTATAGTTCACCGAGAGCCCAAGTGCTCAACTCAGGTTTCCTCTCGGAACCAATAACATTAACTAATGGAACCAGGCAGGGATGCCCCTTATCACCCCTGTTATATGTTTTGGCCCTAGAACCGCTAGCGGTAAAAATCAGAAACAATCCAAACATTCATGGCGTCAGGATCAATGAACGAGAATACACTACCAACCTATTTGCTGACGATGTCCTACTGACGCTTACCCAGCCCCAGATCTCACTCCCCAATCTTTTACAAGAGATAACTCATTATGGCACCCACTCATACTACAAACTCAACATAACGAAAACACAGGCTATGGGAGTGGGTGTCCCGGTTGGCATACTAGACCTGCTGCAGAGGTCCTTTACACTAGACTGGAGGCAAGATCATCTAACTTTCTTAGGCATTAAAATCACAAAAAATCCGACAAACCTCGTAGCCGCGAATTATGACACATTGCTGAAGTCTATAGCGAACACATTGAAAGGATGGGAAGGCAAGTTTCTGTCATGGCTGGGAAGGATGGCTGCAATAAAAATGCTAGTGTTGCCGAAGTTCCAATATTTAATAAGAACCCTACAAATCCACATACCAAAGAGTTACCTAGATAACCTACATAAGCTATTCACGGGCTTCATATGGGCCCATCAAAAAGTAAGAGTATCAGCAAAAATATTATGCAGGCAGCAGGCAAACGGTGGCATGGGAATGCCAGACGTTCGGCAGTACTATAGGGCGGCTATCATGGCCACAGCTGTACAAGCACACGCTAGCAAAGACGTACCACAGTGGGTAGACATGGAGGCCTCGTGGGCGTGCCCTAGAGGTCTGAAGTACCTATTCTGGATACCCCATAGACACAGAAAACTCCATCAAGACGTGCCACCCACGATGCGACTCTTATTGAAGGTATGGGACACTGCCACAAAACAATGGGGGCAAGACAGGGGGTGGGCGCAAGCGACTCCCCTCTACAGCCTATACCTGGCAAACCCAGCCTTCAACTACAGACCTTGGACAAGCAGGGGGTGTGACAGGGTAAGCCACCTATACGACCAAAACAAACTACTTGACTTCCCAGACTTACAAAGGAAATACTCACTACCGCACAACACCATTTTCCAATACCTTCAATTAAAATCCATGCTACAAGGTTCCAACAGCCCCACTGCAACGGCCAACACAAAACATATTGACCAGATGTGTACAGCCACCACACAACCCAAGAGATTATTATCCACACTTTATAATATGCTGATCCAATCACACACAGACCCCCCAGACAAATTCAAGAGTGACTGGCAGGAGGACATAGGCAAAACCTTTACTGATCAACAATGGGGAAAAGCATTTTTAGCGCACAAAAAAAGGACAAGTTGTGCCTCTCACTTGGAACAAATGCGAAAACTCCAATACCGCTGGTACCTGGTACCGGAGCGATTAGCAAGGATATACCCAAATACCCCGAACACATGCTGGAGGTGTCAGGGAAATGTAGGAACAATGTTTCACATCTGGTGGAGGTGCCCGAAAGTGGCAACATACTGGAGGGAAGTTGAGGAGTTAGCGAGAAGGGCCCTGGACAGGGAAATCGCACTTACTCCAGAGTGCGGACTCCTGTTTATGGGGTTGGAAGAGCTCAACACCACAGACTCACGTCTACTATTTCATATTCTCATAGCAGCAAACACTCTAATTGCAAGGGCGTGGAAGAAGGATCAGGCACCCACTAGAGAGGCCCTGATTCAACAAATCACCACGAATATGATTTATGAAAAGGAACTACATAGGCAAAGCTCCGCCAACAAATATGCCAACCTGGCGCATGCGAAATGGGAAATGAGACTGAGCAAGGAGGGAGAGTGACACAAAGAGGGAGAGGTGATGGCATACACCTGCGCAGAAAAACCCACGTGTACATAGTTCTTTAGGGTATCGTTTAGTTTTTTTAGTTTATCGTTTAGATCTGGTTAAAATGGGGGAGCCAAAATGCAGGACCAAGATGCATAGAAAGCTCAGAGGAGAGTATAGGCTGGAATAACATGATGGCCGGGATATGGCCAATGAGATCAAGAGCTTTAAAACTACACGGGACATGCATGAGAGATAACAGATTACCTACCTCCCCCCCCCCTTCCACTGGTACTAGATACTTGTCAACCAGGACGAGAGGAAGGAAGTGTGGTACATGTCATGTCATTGTTCATGCTGTTTAATGTTTAATGCCTGAATGTAAAGATGTCATAGAAATGTTTGAGGGAATCATGTAACCCCCTTCCGCCCCTTTTCTCTTCTGTACCACTGGCGAAACCAATAAAAATTGTCAAATTGAAAAAAAATTATTGTGATAGTACTTCGTTAGTATTGTGATAGTACTGTGTTATTATTGTGATAATAATGTTTTAGTATTGTGATAGTACTGTGTTATTATTGTGATAGTACTGTGCAAGTATTGTGATAGTAATGTGTTATTATTGTGATAGTTCTGTGTTAGTATTGTGATAGTACTGTGTTATTATTGTGATAGTAATGTGTTAGTATTGTGATAGTACTGTGTTATTATTGTGATATTAATGTGTTAGTATTGTGATAGTACTGTGTTATTATTGTGATAGTAAAGTTTTAGTATTGTGATAGCAGTGTGTTATTATTGTGAAAGTAATGTGAGTAATATTGTGATTGTACTGTGTTAGTATTGTGATAGTACTGTGTTATTATTGTGTTTTTATTGAGGAATGCAAAACATAATACAATGTAAATCAGAGAAACACAGAAATATCAGCGAGTTTGAAATACAGAACTAGGGCGATATAGTAACGTATAGCTCTGGGTCAGTGCACCAGTTCAATATATCGACTACTTCCAAGCTCAAAAACATGATCAGGATAATGGAAAAAATACATTGTATTAAAACAAAAAAAAGAGTTTAGTTAATATCATGATAACGTATGTAACAGGTAATACAAAATCAAAAAACAGTTTTACTAATTATGTGGTAAATTATTAACTAATTAATGATAACTATTTGTTTATTCTTACATTTTGCTTCTCTTTGTTCTGTAAACATAGAGAGCCTTCCGTTTCATTATTTGACATTTTTGAAAAATAAGTTTAAGGTAAAAATGATTATATGTATGGATATAGGTGGGGTGGGAGGGAGTGATGTTTATTTAATAGGAAGTAGAGAAGGTTGGTAGGAAGTAACGGTGGTTATTTATCTAGTATTGGGGGGGTTACGTTGTGGTAAGACTAGTAGGGATGCCCGTGTAGTTTTTGGGGAGGTGGGGTGCAGCTGGACTAGTTTATATAAGAGCAGTTGTCTTTTGGTGTCGGTGATAGTGGTGTGTAGAAATATACCCACACATGAGAAGAGTGGTCACAATCTTATTTTAATTTACAGTAATGTTAATGAGTTGTTATCCTGTGTTGTCCATGGCTCACAGATTCTGGTATGTGTTGTAACTGGGTCACTAAGTTTTGGAATTAGTTCTTCCATATTATAAATGAACCATGCTTTGCGAAACACGAAACTTACAAATGGGACGGGCGCAGGAGAGCCCCTTATAACCAAAATCCTCCAACCTGATGATTTATTTCTGCGCTGTCATTTTAAACGCCTATAACCATTGCATATAAAACAAACACACAGCCCTGAGTTCAATGTTCAGTGGGATAGCAGAACAAACGAGTCACAGGAACAAACACCAAATATGGAGTAACGGATACACCGGTGGGGTTTATCCACTGTAAAACGAATCGGAGTGGAATGAAACCGATTTGCCAAATTTGTGCTATTACTACAAATAAATTGGATCATTTTTCAAATCAGTCCTTTTTTGTACTAAAATTTCCATTTTAGATTTGGCCTAAAACTTTAAATTTACTTTGAATTCCTGCCAATTCGCACTTAATTGAATAACCTTACCAAGGATTTTTTTCATTTAAAATCCAAAGTGCGGGAGTAAGAAAAAAATAAACAATTATGATTAGCCTCAATGTCCAAGTATTTACGGATGAACTGTAAGTAACCGGAAAATAATGGTCACGTATCAAATTTACATATATAAAGTAGGGGTGTCCATCTATACCTAACCACCTCTTTACTAGACTACCCCTCTCTCGCTGTACCCCGCACGCTGCAGCTGTCCAAGAGTTATGGGAGATGTAGTCCAACACTTGGCCATGTTGGACCGTAACTTGAAGTCTTGGAAGCCTGGCTTGTTGTATGTACAGCTGCAGATTCTGTTAGGACTATATAAATAACAGACAAAAATAGCTCTGGCTCTTAAAGGGATCACAGCACCAGCAGGCAGCACGCAAGGCATTTCAGACTGTTGTATAGGTAACTGTGAAACCTTTCGATGTATCCAACCTCCCCCCTCTCCCTCCACTAGCATGTTATCCCTCCCTTAACCTCTGTGATTGATCAACTCTACTTTGTAACCACATGTGTACTTTGCTTTGCTCAGCCTGTCTAGAATATACAAAATTAATCTTAACTACTGGATATAACGAGCTATAACCTTTCTTTTAACCATGGTCCAGTTTCTCCTGTCATTATTGGCATCTACCGTGGCATGGTGTGGGATCTGCGTGGCAGGGAATATCTCGGAGGTAATGTCCCAATTTGTTTTAAATACATAATTTGTTCTGGTGTTTACTTTTTGCGTACACAGCTAGTAAACTGGAATATGACCCACGGCCTTGCTACTGGGAGACATTCGTACTGGTCAAGATTACAAAACAGGACTTAATGCAAGTTAAACATATCACTACTACGAATAATGAATCATCTTTGCAATATTGTGAGAGATTATACAGGTTATTCACTATAGTGTGAGCTGTCAGAAATTCAAAGTAAATTCTAAGTTCACTGAAAATCCCGATGTGCCTCATTTGTTTTCTCTTTCGTTGGGAATTGTTCATTTCAACTTTGGAGATTTAATATTTTTGAGATGTTGCTGAGTTTTAAAGAAGAACATCTTTGAATAAAATTCTCTTCAGAATTGTCATTTTTCTCATCTTTATTTTGAGGGACAAACAAAAAAAAAGCATCTTTATTAAATGTTTGACTCAAAAATAGTCTCTGTTTGCAATGTAACAAACTAATGTATAATCAGAAGTTTCTTATTTGTGATATTTTTATCATTCTGGCAAAATAATAAAAGTAAAGAAAGTTTGGTTTTTTTATTGAAATATATTTGTTTTCCAGTTATTCCTGCACAGGTTGCAAGAAGATGAGTTACTGTCATATTTTGGAACAAGCACCATTGCAGGTACGTTTTGTGGTGGGGAGTATGTTAGAATAATCTGTGAAAACAAACTGGCCTTTCAGTGGCACCCCAGTCGGAGGCTTCCTGATTTAAAACTTAGACTGCACCAGAAATAGCTGGACAGAGCGATTCTACATTTTTGGGGTTAAACTGTTCATTAATGGTTTGACCCCTTGTGAAAAGCTGGCTCACAGGAACTTCCTTGTACCATAACACCTTTATCACAATGAAATTGTGATGGTGCCCGGAGTGTTCCTTTAAACCTTTGGGGGGAGTTTTCTATTTTTGTCGACATCTTACAATTCAGTTTTCAGAGCATTAAAATTCAGCTCTATATGCAATGCACTCTGCTAAAGTGATGTTATTTCTTGCTTTTCTTCAGTGAAAAATGAATGTATTTACCCTACGCATTTCATGGTCTTTAAATACTTTGTGACCTTACATATGTAAGATCTGAGCATTTAGTCTACACAACGTGACGTTCCACCAGTGTGATAATCATTTTATATTTTTAACTCCTCTCTGTTGGTGTCCCCCAAGGTTCAGTCCTTGGTCCCCTACTGTTCTCCATCTATATTGACTCCCTTGGTAAACTCATTAGCTCCTTTGGCTTCCTATATCACGTCTATGCGGATGACATGCAAATCTACCTGTCCTCTCCTGATCTTTCCCCATCCCTCTTGACTAGTGTCTCTGACTGCCTCTCTGCTATTTCTAACTGGATGGCTGGCCACTTCCTTAAACTAAACTTGACCAAAACTGAAATTCTGTTATTTCCTCCCTCAAGTGTTGTTACTCCTGTGTCTGTCTCCCTCCAAGTCAACGGTGCTACCATCAGCTCCACCACGTAGGCTTGCTGCCTAGGTGTTCTCTTTGACTCCGACCTCTCCTTCAAGCCTCCTGTTCACTCTATCGCCAAATCCTGTCATTTCCATCTCAAAAACATTGCGCGCATCCACCCCTACTTAACGCCAGATGCAACTAACGTGTTGGTCCATTCCACTGTCCTTTCTCGCCTTGACTACTGTAATCCGCTTCTCAGTGGTCTTACGTGCTCCCAACTTGCGCCGTTACAGTCCATAATGAATGCGGCAACGAGGCTCATCTTCCTGTCCGCCCGCACCTCCCATGCCTCACCCTTCAGTCAGTCCCTACATTGGCTTCCTATAAAATATAGAGCTCAATTTAAAATTCTGGTTCTTGCTTTCAAATCTCTACCTAATGCTGCTCCCACCTATCTATCCTCCGGTATACACAAGTATGTCCCGTCTAGGCCCTTACGATCTGCTGAAGACTTACGTCTATCTTCTGTCCGTACTCCCACCTCTGATGCTCGCCTTCAAGATTTCTCGAGGGTTGCACCGTTCCTGTGGAACTCTCTTCCCTCCTCCATTAGATGCTCACCCAGTCTCCACTCCTTCAAAAAATCGTTAAAAACCCACTTCTTTACAAAAGCGTATCAATTAAACTGTTAATAGCTCCTGACTGATTCCTCTTCTGCAACTGTCACTAGACTAATACTATCCTTACCTTTTTGTGTCATTTTACCCCACTCCCTCTAGCATGTAAGCTCATTGAGCAGGACCCTCAACCCCTCTGTTCCTGTGTGTCCAACTTGCCTGGTTACAACTACATGTCTGTTCGTCCACCCATTGTAAAGCGCTGCGGAGTTTGATGGCGCAGTATAAATATCATAATAATAATAATTCCAGGACTTTACCTTTTTGGTTTAAAACCCAGGCATTTTTCAGATACTGCGTGGAAAGCAAAATATTTGAATTACTGTTATATCAAACGTAAACAGACTTACAAATTATTAGTGGCAATATCAGGGAAAAAATAAGAAACTTGTAATTATTAATGAATCCCTCAATAACCTTATAATCGATTATTCTTGTGTTGTCCGCAGAATCTGATATTGACATTATCAATCTTACGTGTTCTTGTGATAACCTTGAGATGTCCGGGTCATGCTTGGTCAAAACCTGCACCTTAAAACGAAATGAAGAAACCTATAAATTCAGATTTACAGACGCTCAGAGACCGGTCACTACAGAGCGCGTTCTCAATTCAACTGCGCACGCTCTGAAGAATTTCCCAGAAGGCTGTGGGGCACATGGCATCATATTGCACCCAGCAAGGGCGAGTTCCATCATCAGTTATTGCGAAGGAGAGTTGGTGAGCCCTATTCCCACTGAGCTTACAATCTATTCAGAGAAAACAAAATACATAATGGGAATTTAACCAACATTAATTAATATAATTGTGTTATTTTCATTATTTATAATAGCCAAATTTATTTTATAATGATGTACTCCTGGAGTGGGTTTGCAGATCAGCCATTGATCTTTCAGTCTTGGAATGTCTTATTAGATACAGTATTGCATAAATGAATTAGACGTGTTATACACCCTATAAATAAAACGGAACAGCATTGTTTAAATCTGTAAAAACCTCTGTGGGTCAGCGTCCTATCCAATTTCAGGGTGTCTTTGGCATGTTAAAGGGATACTCGCACCAAAACAATACAGATCTACAAAAATTACATCTTTAGATATGAAGTGCTCTTAAAAAAAATCTAGAATATAATTGGCAAAAGCTAGTGCTATGAGGCCTGGGAGAAATTAAAAAATAGGTTGAGGGTAATTCCACTTAAATGATGAAGCATTTTGGCAAACAAACTGAGCTGTACAGACGTATTGCTATTTGCAGGGGGGGTAAGATGGAATCCTGAAAACCGCTGTTATCGATTATGAAATCATGTGTTCGCTGTCAGTGATTCACTAACTCTGTTTCACAACATCCGAAAGGGACGGGCAGAAATTGCTGCATGTTTGCTGTGTTTTTCTGGAATAAAAATCAAAAACAACACTAATTGATTTTTCTTTCTTCTTTTTTTAAAATCCTGCCCGTGGCACACTATTGCTGTATTCACTGTTGGTCAGCGTGGATTTGTCATCGTGGCTGGGGAGCAGCTATTTATACAGCCGGTGAAGAAAAAACATTTAATGTCCCTGGAGGAACAGAAATTGTCAAATCCTCATCTTCTGTATAGAGCTGGATTTTCATTATCTGCAAATATCGGTAAGAAAACAGAATTTCTGTTTTTTTCCCACCAGTATCAGCACATGCATACAGTATATATAATGTAAATACAGATTGCAAGCTCTTTAGACTGGATAATATAATAAATATTTACTGAATGCTTTTTAATCCTCTTTTGCCTAGAGACGCAATCTTAAACTTAGCCTTCTCCCACACACTACAGCAACGTTTGTAGGTCAAACTTTATGCCTACATTGCAGGGATTATTTTGCAGGCTGCAATAAGACCATTCAGTGCCCCGTATAGTGTACACTGATCAACCACAACACTAAAACCACATGCCTAATATCGTGTAGGTCACCCCATGCTGCCAAAACAGATCTGATGCTTCAAGGCATGGACTTCACAAGCCCTCTAAATCAAGCCACTACAATTTTCTTTTAAGTGAACTAAACCCTGATTATATAGCAAATCTACCCTTGTGTGTTAGAATTTGCTATGACATTATTTGCTTTATCTATCTTGTGAGTCTTTATCTACTTTCCATATTTCTGACGCAGGCATCCACAGGACTTGCGTTGTCGCAGACTGCGCCGGTTTTCCACACAGTGTGTATTTTAAGACTATCTGTCTATTTTTTTTTTTTATTGCAGTGTCATCTCCCACCACTGTCTTTCACTCAATAAAAAAACGCTCACCAGCCGACGTGAAGCACTTGGAGCTGTTAGTGGTCGTGGGTCACGACGTGTTCCAGATCCACCAGGAGGACACAGAGCGATACATTCTCACCAACCTTAACATTGTAGGTAAAAGAAGTAATTAGTTCTAATAGCCATGACTGACACTCAGGGAATTATAGTCAAGCCATGTCGTTCATCTAAATTTCAATTCTTAAAGGGTTTTACTCCAAATACCATGACCACCGCATGGAATTGAAGTGATTATGGTCCCTGGAGTCTTTATGCGTAGTGGTTCGCTATGAAATTGCAGGGAGAACAAAATATTTTTCCAAGAGACAAAAAATATTTTTGATTTCTCTCCCCACCCTCCCGCCCAAGTTACATAAAGATCCTTGCCAGACAGGTGACTCTTTTTACAGATGTTGAGTGCAGCCAGATGTTGTAAATTACTGGGGACATGCCTGCTGGGCCCAGAATCCTCCATCTCTCATAAACTAGTATAGTAAATCACCTTGTGAGATACTAAACAATGCGTTATCAGTAAATATATTTTATTAGAGAAGTCTCGGTCAGCACTTAGAGTAAGAATGCAATAACAAGGTTACGCAGTTTACATTAGTTTGGACTTTGAATTTCTCATGTAGACAATGTATTTAAACAAACAAACAAACAAAAAACTATCCCTGTTTTCCATTTAGGTATGGTTTACATTTTTACAATCATTGGTTATTCATCCGCTCCTGATACCTTTTTGCATTGTGTTTTTCAGGGTTCAGAGCTGTTAAGAGATGTGTCGCTTGGAGCTACATTCCGCGTTCATCTTGTGAAAATGATCATCCTGACGGAACCAGAGGTAAAGCTTTTAAAGGGTTACTCCAACCACCATAACCACTTCAATGACAGGCTGTAGGAACTACCAAATCAATACACATTAGGCAGAATAGACTACTATCTCTATGTAAAATGGATTGCTAGCTCTTAGGGACAGAGTGCAATTTATAAAATAAGCATGTGTGTGGGGGCAGAATGTGTATCTTTCTTTGAGTCTGGAAGTGGGATTACAAATCACACAGTGATTTTATTGATAATAGTGACTGTATTTACATACACATTCACCCATTGTCACGATAGTTTACCCCTACATGCAAGACTTAGTCCAACAATCGACAGATAGAGCAGATACGACTTACCGGACCTTAGAATGGCCGGACTCGCCGTAAAGCAGAGAATAGACAGAGTCAAGAACAAGCCGAGGTCAAGGGAACAAAGAGACTGCGAGAACAAAAAACTAGCCAAGGTCTGGTACACAGTAGTCAGTAAGCCGGCAAACAAGACAAAACAGGGATAGAGAGATAAACGGAGTCAGATACAAAGCCAAGGTCAAGCACGAAAATCACAACTGAACACAACAAGCGCTAAAGGGAACTGAAACAGAAACCACGATAGGGCAGGGAGTTAAGGGAGAGGTAAGTATAAATAACCTAAACTTTACTGTCATATCCACGCCCCCAAAATGTGAGTGTCTGGGGAATGTGGGATGACAGGGGCCAATGGGAGTACATTTCACTTTTTGGCTCCCACTGCCCCTTTAAGAGCGTGCCCAAGACGCGCGGCACGCTCCTAGAGCATCTCGCGGTCCGTGCCCGCCTTCATTCGAGAGCTGCGTGCGGAATTGGTGGGGACACTTTTGGAGCCCTTGATACTTTGGCGGGCTTTTCTGTGCCTGGGAGACAAAGAAAGTGTTTTTCTGTGCCTTGGCTCCCAGACACAGAGGATCCTAAGATGAAGACCCCCTGTCTGATGGGGTGGGAGACCCCTTGTATGTGTGGCAGTCTTTCTGTACTTTGGAGACAAAAGGACAATGACTTCCATTCCCGCGCTTTGGCTCCCAGGTGCAGAGGCTCCTGGGATATGACCCCTGTTGGTTTAAGAGGAAAACCCCTTGCATGGGGATATGCATAAAAGCCGAGTGTGGCTCAATAAAATTGTGTTTTACCTCCAGGACTGTGTGTCATCCAGTTACTGGGGGGAAAAGCGGCTCATTATACTCTAAAGTGGTTCCTGAGCGGCTGAAGGAAGGTAATGGCGGAGGTAACGGTCTGGTTACCCAGGGTCCTCTGCAGTATCTTTGATCTACTTTTTGCCTGGTATTAGGACTGTGACTTAGGGGTAAGGAACTGTGACTTAGGGGGAAGGGCATATAAGTTACCTTTTATGTGTTTAAAGGGATTTAATAGGCAGGAATCAATCCCCTGTATTCCTTTAATACATGACACTGTTACAAAACATATGCAAATAAATAAATGAAAATAGAAAATAATACTAATCTTTAAAGTCTCTTAACATGCATTCAGACTATGTCAGTTCTAACACAGGCCAGATCTCGATTGTGAATGCTATATTAAATACCATAGTTGACATTATTTTCCCATAATGCACAGCTCACTGTGACGTCTCATTTCTCTATATATTTAGATATATTTTTGTGGGTTTTCTTCCAGGCAGATATCAAAATCTCACCTGATATCAACTCTTTCTTAGTGAGTGTGTGTGAGTGGAGTAAGACGGTGAATCCCCCGGGAGATGAAGACCCCTACCACGCGGATCTTGTTCTATATGTGACCAGGTTAGGTGGCGAAAAAAGGTCTAAAAAGGAAGCAATCACCATGGAAACCGGTGGAATCACCAAAAACATCCCGATTGCTCAATTTGTCTATTAGCAACACTTTAATAAAACTCCCTTTACAGTTTCAACGTTCATTATCCCATCACTGTTCTTTTCTTTGGATTTTATTATTTTTTTCTCGTTTTTTTTTCTCACTGCAGGTTTGATCTTACAAATGGAGAGAGGACGCTTCGTGGTGTTACCCAGCTGGGCGGCGCATGCACCTCTTCTTGGAGTTGTGTCATAACTAAAGACACCGGTTTTGACCTTGGGATCACCATAGCACATGAGATTGGGCACAGGTAATCTAAAGGTGCTTTGTATTGCATGGCTTGATGAGAATGTTTGGCCAAAAATAATATAAATACAGAGACAAACTGATGTGTGTTTCACAAGGTTAATACGGAGAATGCATTTTGTAGGGTTACGTCATTTAACCCTTGGGCTCATCAGTACTCTCTTTAACCCTTGCAGTTTTGGAATAAACCACGATGGAACGGAGAACCATTGCAGTGGCGACGGGAACATCATGGCGGTGCAGGAAAGTCACAACAGTGTCCATCTGACGTGGTCCGAGTGCAGCAGAGAACAATTCCTCCGATTCCTGGGGTATCATGACAGACATTGATAGAGGGATTTGTTCTTTCCATATATCCATGTTCATTTCCACTATCAGAGGGGCTTCAAGCATTTATGTAAAAGGTCTGGGTAATGGGAGCTGAGAATAAAAAAAAAAAAAGATTAATGTCAAAGAAAAGCTCTATACGAGTGACCGCAAAATACAACAGGAGTTTAAAGGGTCAGTTTAAGCACCAAAACCACTTTAGATTTATAAAGTAGTTCTGGTGCATAATCACACCCCTGCAGTCTCGCTGCTCGAGTCTCTGACATACCTCCAACTCCTCTCTACACACTTCCTACACACTTAGGCCAAAATGTGTGTTTTTATAGCTTCCAAATGTACCCATTGTGTCCGCGTTGCTTCTTTAAGACAAAATTCGACTGGACACTACCATGAGCGAGGAAGTTTGTGCTTATCTGAAAATAAAAAAAAATAATAGAGCTACTAAATCTCAGTGTATATACCCGTCAGAGCACCCCGAAGAAGGTGTGACTGGTACAACCCAGAGACTAATGTACCGATAGGAGACTCCAGGTATCTCCAAAGGGGCATAACCCCAAATTGGACAAAAAACAGCAGACAATACAAAGTTGTAACTAGTCCCAGTGTGAAGATAATCCTGGGACCAGTCACAACGCCTGGAAATAAAATATATGGCGTAATGCAGTACGCCATACAGGTACCACCTGTATATACTTTTGTTTGATTTTTTGGACTTTTCTTCTCTAATAGTTATCTTTATAGAAGTGATAGCCAGATTTTTCATCATACTGCATTACGCCATATAATTTATTTCCAGGTGTTGTGACTGGTCCCAGGATTATCTTCACACTGGGACTAGTTACAACTTTGTATTGTCTGCTGTTTCTTATCTGAAAATAACAGGAACAACGCACCCAGACCACTTCAATGAACTGGGTACCTATAGTGTCCCTTTAAGATGAAGGCAATACATTTGGCGGGGGCTGGCTTTGAGCATTCACGTCAATCCTATCCTAAACAGCTTGACATAAGACTGGTGAGAGCCTGGCACCAGGACCCTCTGGGTACCATAACAACTCTAGCAAGATTGCTTTTTAAAATTTGCCACAATGAACTGATTTCCCAAGTAGCTTGTATTAGTAATTGTAAATAATATGCATTTCTATAATGTTTCAGTTTTTCCCTTTGGTAGTTTACTCACTGTTCGTTTATTTAGAATTAATAGAATTTAGAACTATCCTCACACTCTTTTTGTCTGTACTCTATGCACCTGACAGTAGTGGGCAAGCGAACTGTGTGAACGACTTGCCAGCTCTGGAAAGCTCCATCCCTGGGTGGAAACCCGGCCATTACTACGGCGCAGACGAGCAGTGTCAAATCGCGTTTGGAAGTTCCGCCATTGCATGTACTTTCTCCAGAAATGATCTGGTAGAGTATTCCATTTGCTTCTAAAATTAAATTATTTCTTCTTTTCACATCTATAGCAATATTCACGAAATCCTTCTAGTTTGACAAATCTACAACATTCCCAAACTGAGACATAAACCATTAATTACAACTTGTGCTTAACACTTTATGAGACTCTAGAGAGATCCTACTTTTTTGATAGTATATGATTATGTTTTAGAAAAAAATTCTTACATTCTGTTAAGTGGTGTAAATTTATACATATTCTAAAAAAATTGCTGTGAGACCACAATAAAACTCATCGCAGTCCGAATAGAAAAATCCCTGTTATGTATCCCATGCATACATAACTTTGTAGAGTCCCCCAGTAATGCACAACAGTAAATTTTCTAATTGCATGGTGGGGATTTGTATTTATTGTGTTTGGTCTTACCACAATCTTTTTGGCACCTAGCTATACACTCTCGGAGACTAGAACTTGTGCCATGCCGACCCACAAGGTCGAACCTTTACAGTCCATGGCTGGTTGCTGGTCACTGGTCTTTTTGGATCACAACCCATGCTATGGTTAAAAACAGTGTCCATTGCTAATGGTACCTACAGAAATGTAATATGATGTCTGAAACACAATACCCATTTGTTCTCATTTGCATGTCAAGCTCGGAACTTTAAGACAGTTGTGAAAACATAATTTCTTGAGATTCTATGCCCAATGGGGACTTTCCAAAGTCCAACTTGAGATATGCAGGTGATGCACAGAAGTATTATATATAACTACTAGGGATAAGAATTGTTTAAATCTTTTTTCCCATAGGATACATGTAGCGTTCTTTCTTGCCACACAAGTCAACAGGATCGGAAAAACTGCAAGCGGATCCTGGTCCCACTTCTCGATGGCACAGAATGCGGAGAAAACAAGGTCGGGTTTGACATGCAGTATTGGGCATATATCGTTTATTTAGAAAACAGTACAATGGTCCTAATAGATTACTTGCTTAGTGACTATTTGAACGTCAAGGTTTCAGGGCTGAATCCTGCAAGATCGACTTCCCTTCTCTTTGAGGTCATTAAAACGAGTAAAACAGACCATCGGATGCTAAGGCCATTTAGATAAATTGTTTAAGAATTTTAAGAAAAGGGGCAGTTATTAAGAGTCCCTTAACTTTAATTTATACTCTTGTTTAAAGAATAGTAAGATTTTTCAGGTGCACTTCATGATGTCAGTATCAGAATGAGTTTATATAACTTGAGGAGAGCTGAAAAGCTCTGTATTGGAGAAGTGGACTGACCATCTAGAAGGATCTAGTAAGATCGAGTCATACGTAACGTAAGTACAGTTACAATGGAGACTAACAGTGTGGCATCTAAAGTAGTTAGACCAGCAGTCAGCACTAGTAAAATGTGAAATTATGGATTTGAGAAAGCTAGCAATTTGCAGGTAGCTCAGTATCCTCTTGGCCAAGCTGTCCACACCGTTCACATCGTCGTCAGATCTACTCTCAACCACACTACCAGGTCTATATTTCTAGGAACTAAAACGCCAAGATATTTTATGTGGTTGCTCTCTCATTGTAGGCGAAAGAGAGTTTGGAGCTTAGTCATTGTTTTGGAACCTAAGGTTAACACTCATGTTTTAGAATGATTAACTTCAAAGCTTAGCACCTGACCATGGGTTTTAAGCAAATATATGATAGTATGGATAGTAGAGTGAGGGTTGGTGACATATAATAAAATGTTGATGGCACATGCCATAAGTCTAAGGATGGACATGCCAATCAGAATGCCTGGAAAATGTAACATGTGTATGACTAGGTCTAAAGATACAGAAAAAGTACACTCCAGGACATTTTAGGCCATTAGTTGATATTTTAGTAAAAGAGTTATAATAAAGATTTCTGGTTAGGTTAAAGAATGGGATACCAAAATTTTAAATTTTAGGAGTCTGAAAATATGTGGTTGGGCAACCAACTCAAAAGCCTTATGTGCATCCAGACTAAGAAGTAGAGAGTACGTGTGGTTTGGAAACGTTTTGTACAAAGGGAATAGCCACCGTTGGATAGATTATCTAGTCCAGAGAATGCCCAAATAGTGTGAATAAAGATTTGGCAAAAATGGCTGCAACAATTTTTTGTTTGGATTTCAATATCTTGGTACAATATAATATTACAATAATATATGTGTGAAAACAACATAAATACATTCTTCCCATTGTCCTGTCTTTCAGTGGTGCCATAAAGGTCTCTGTAGTTCTCTAGAGGAGTTGAATCCGGTGGCTGTCGTGCATGGAGCCTGGTCAAGCTGGACATCTTACTCTTCCTGTTCCCGCAGCTGTGGCGGGGGTGTTGTGACTAGAAAAAGACTGTGCAACAATCCCAGGTGGGCTCCTGTCTCTACCTACTGCATAAAAAACAAGGATAATGCCGACCGAAGGCTGCGTACTGCCCCAATACCACTATAACTTCTTCATGATAATGGATTGATTCATATCAGAGCTGTGAGGGGTCACATTTTTAAACCTTTTTGCAGTAGCGTAAGGTGAAAATATGTGTTTTGGGGTATTCTTTGTATGTTAAATTGCAATTTTCATCTTCCTGTAGGCCTGCATTTGGGGGGCATACCTGTGAGGGGCCCAGTCTGCAAGCTGAAATGTGCAACACCCAGGTGAGTCTCTATCAATGTATTGTTTGTTTATATCCCATGGTCCCATTGCACTAATCATGAAGACCCCCTTATGGACATTTTCTTACATTTAAGAAATGGGCACGGCTCAAATGTATCACAATTCCGTTTAGCCCGTGTTTATTAGTGTTCTGACTTCTGAGTCTCCAGCAGGGTGTCTGTCTCAGATAGCCGTGGAGTTTAAAGCTTCTTACCATTTTCTTTTTAGGCCTGTGAGACATCCCAGTTAGATTTTATGAACCAGCAATGCTCTGCCACAGATACTGAACCCCTTTACCTCACCCCTGGGATACCCACCTTTTATAAATGGACGGCAGCTGCTGGCTTTGCAAATGGTGAGTACATTTTGAAAGTCCTTGAAGATTGCTGGCACAAATACCTGGAATCTATGACTTCCATCCCTCCTCTCTAACCAGAAATCGAGAAAGACCACCAGTACTAGCAGGAGGTCTATGGTCTTGCTAGAGAATAATTTTAAAAATGTCGAAAGGCTAATCTCAACCATTAGCTGTGATGGTTGTTAACATGAGATTTGTCTATAATATATAGTAAGAAGTCTTTAACTTGTTTTTTATAACTCAGGCGACTCTCTCTGCCAGCATTTGTGTCGTGCCCATGGGAAGAATTTCATGGTGGGACGCAGAGACCGATTTATAGATGGGACACGCTGCGAGCCAAGTGATGAAACGGATGCTCCCTTTAGCCTGTGTATAGCTGGGAGTTGCAAAGTAAGTACAGGGCTTACATCGCCAGATTGTCCACTCTCAACCTCAGGAGAGGCCAAAAGGTAGTACCTTGTCTGTCATTCACCCACAACTCCCATGATAGTCCAGCTTCTCCTGTTGGCCCAAATAATGAAAAAATTTACAAAGGGTAGAACAGGGGATGACAGCAGGGGGCATTATTATAAATACAACATGCTGTAGTAGTTTGGTTCTTAGAGTGCACTTTTAAGATCAACGGGAATATCCAGTGGGGTAACTATAAAGGTAAAGGGCTCTATGCTGAGTTTCTATTACTTATCAGAAGGCCAAGCACTGAGTTTTAAATACTCTTCACATTATAACACCTTCAGTAGGGTCAGGAAACTATTGCGATATGTGTATTGAAAACGACCTTCAAGAGTTGGTTGCAAGATTTGGAGATGTTTAAGCCCTTAAGGACACAACTTCTGGAATAAAAGGGAATCATGACGGAATATTTCCATCATGTATCCTTAAGGGGTTAAGCCTTTTCAAACCAATGTTCACATAACAACCCTTGTCTTTTAGGCCTTCAGCTGCGATGGTGTGATGGATTCTACAATGGGGTTTGACCATTGCGGGGTCTGTGGTGGGGATAACAGCACCTGCAAGAAAGTCAGTGGCAGCTTCTCTGAAGGAAGAGCGGGAGGTGAGTTGCAAAGCCACCGACGTAGAGACTCAGAGAATGTTACCAGGCCTAGAATGTCCCTTACTAGAGAACAAAGTATCTCTAGGGTCCGTGAGAAGGTGGTGAGATAACGTGGAGAGATTTACTAAACTCGAGGTTCAGAATATATAGATCTCCAGCCATTGTTTAAATCTAACTATTATGATGCTTGGACAGTTAAAGGTCATTCTAGGACAGGCATAGGCAACCTTCGGCACTCCAGATGTTGTGGACTACATCCCCCATAATGCTTTTACACCCATTATGCTGGCAAAGCATCATGGGAGGTGTAGTCCAAACCATCTGCAGTGCCGAAGGTTGCCTATGCCTATTCTAGGACAATGTTTCTCAGTTAAACCCAATACACCTGAATGAGGAAATGCCACTTAGATTATTCCACCAGCCAGTGACTGTCCAACCTGTGTTCAAGCAGGAATATCCAACAATTCGCCCTGTTAGGTGTAGTGGGGGAGAGGGATAAGAACTACCCTGTTCAGTGATGTTTAGAAGTTACGGGAGTTCCCCAACATGAAAACTGTGTTCTGTAGCAGATTTTGGAAATGATGGGACATTCCAATTGCTGTTAGACTTCAACTCTCATCATATTTAGGGTGGCCATAAGTAACTTTGGTGGTTACAGATTTAAATATTCTCCAATAGTGATGTGGGATTTGACTGGAGAATTGCACATTTTTAGACCAAATTACCTGACAAACTCCATTATAAGTCCAGCTCGGCTATTTTGGTCCTAAATCTACATTTCTCTGGATAATTCCTAACATTTCACTGTTGATTGAATAACCCAGTGAATGTCACCAATTGCATTTACTTTCCTGATTTTTATTCTCTGCAATAATAGTTCACTGGGAAAACCCACGTGTATCCAAGTGAAGTCAGTAATTTCTTAATCCACCATCCTATCGATTACAGTTTACTCCACATTCCTGACAGTTCCCATTGGATCCATTGGGATAACCATAACCAATCAGAAGCCTCTCTTCACACATCTGGGTAAGAAGTATGTATATGTGACTATATAATTAATGTTTCTTTATCAAATGTTCTACAAGGAAGATTACATTGAGATTTCTCTTATATTTCAGTATATATATATATATCTCCATTCACAAACCGATGTGTTACTTCCGCCATTTATTTTCTTTTCTTTCCAGCTGTTAAGGACAATGGCTCATACATTGTAGCTGGAAAAGGTAAAATCTCTATAAATGTCACAGAACCCTCTGTTCTGGAAGACAGACGGTTAGAATATCGACTGAAGCTGACCAACAACATGCTTCCACACCTGGAACAAATCCACATTGATGGTCCTACCGAAGGGGACATCGAGATCCAGGTAAGAATCTGTGACAAAGTTACTGTCTGGATTTGTTTCAAACCTAAATACTATCTGTTTCACTTGGAGCAGTATCTACACCTAGAGTCACCAAAAGGTAGATCACCACTTGTTATAGAACTTCAAAATTGATTTTATTTTGGCAGCTTTAGCTCCACAGGAATTGGGAACTTACATTTTGGGGCCCCCATACTCTAGGTGTTTTATGGGGTAATGTCCTGTTTGAGAAGGGACATTAAAGCACAATGCTTACATTTTTCTTCTGAGTAGGTTTACAGAAAATATGGGCAGGAATATGGAGAGGTCACAAATCCAGACATCTCGTACAGCTACTATGTCCCTAGGAAGGAGGAGACCTACGTGTGGTCGGCAGTGAGAGGTCCTTGTTCTGCTAGCTGTGGAGGAGGTGAGAGAAGAGCCAAACTCAACTGTACCAGTAAATGTCAGCACTATGTAAACTATTAACACTTTTTGTTGTTGTCAGAGTAAGCTTCCCTTTTCTATCCCCAGGTTTTCAGGTGGTGACCTACGTCTGCATGGACCAAATGATCCAACAGCAAACCCAGTCTGCATTCTGCTTAGATTCCACACTTCCCACTGCACTGCGTGAAAACTGTGGAAATGAACCATGTCCCCCCAGGTCAGTTAGTTTTCTTGGAAACAGTCGTCACCAACATGTGGCTCCATAGCCGTTGCTGGACTGCTATTCCCACCAAGAGACTTAGAGCAAATAATGAGACCTGTAGTCCAACAACACTTAAATTAGCACAGGTTGGTGACTGCAGTCTTAAATCTTCTTCAAGCTATAGATATCCTTTGTAGTCCACCACTCCTTGCAAGTTGTCTTTAACATCTTTTTCTACAGGTGGGTCATCGAGGACACCTCCCCATGCTCTGTGTCTTGTGGTGGTGGGGTCATGCTCCTGAATGTGTACTGTGCAAGCAACCAAAGAGGCAATGAGACCATCCTACCTGATAGCCATTGTGGCCACTTAGCTCGTCCAAAGGCCTTCTCAACCTGTGGCCAAGCACCATGTCCAGCCAGGTATTTCATTCAACTAAAGCTTAGAAGGTCTTGATGTTCTAGAATTACATAATTTTTATTGTTATCCACTATGAATTCTGAATTTATAGATCAGATTTTTTACAATATCACATCCATTCTTTAAAACATTTTAAAGATCATATGCTAAAATATCCATTAATATTAATAAAACGTTTCTGCAATTGCTGGTAATCCCAGGTCTACCAGGTTTTGTGCTGAGTTCAGCCCAGACCAGGAAGGGACTCAGATACTCAGTGAACATTCTATAGCACTGCGCTAAGGTCAGCAGGGGTATCTGGGAGTTGTAGTTCCATTGTCAGCTCTCTGTGTTTAAAGACCTTGTGATGCTGCTAAAGGTGATTGCCTTCCCTATGTAGATGGGAGATGTCAGAGCCAGGTCTATGCTCAGCGGTGTGTGGACATGGCGTGGCTTTGAGGAACGTATCATGTGTCCAGTCTCAAGCTGGTTGGGATGTCTTCGTGGATGATTCTCTGTGCTCGGCTCAGGAGAAGCTCCCAAGTGTGGTCCAGTGCGTGGTCAGTGTGTGTCCAGTGGGCTGGGAAACGGTGAGCAGTTATATCTCTGTGGCACAAAGCAATGGAGGCTGTTATAATACATATAGCTGTTACATGCATAACGTATATTAAAAGATAATTTAGTGTATACACAGGGTGAGGTTGGTCCTGCTCATAGGAGCTTGCAATCTAAAGGTTTATTTTGGGTGCATATTAGTTTAATGCCATCTAAAAAAGAATACAAATATTTAAAGTGGATTTTTTTAATTTATTTTATTAATCAGTTAGTTTGATGGATATTTTATTTAACATTCCTTTGACTTTAGCAATAATAAAACCAGGATTATAAAATGAGGAAGTATAATTCCCTTATTGCATTTACAGAAAAATAGAGGGATTTGGTATGATTCTATTAGAACAAAATGTTGTAGTAAACATCTCCGTTAGAAATGTCAGATTTTTTTTCTTATATAGATATTCAATGGACATTCTTCTAATTAAAATGTTTTTTGCTTGAACTTCCACGCTCTACTTTTTTAAAATAATTTTTCTTTTTGTCAGCTTCCAATTTCTCCTCTTGGGATGCAGTTAATGGAGCCACTTTTAAGTGAAAACTCTTCTCTCCTAAATTCACCATCCGGAAAGAAGATGGAGGTGTTTGTGTGGAGTCCTGTAGTAGGGGAGTGCTCTGTTACCTGCGGCTCAGGTAAAGTTTAGTAAGCTTCTGTTAGACATGCGCAAAAATTCGTTTTAATACATTCGTACTAATGAAACAGCTTAACGTCGGATGTATCAATTACGAAATGCAGTACTTTCATAATAAAACAAATTGTCCAATAACCCACACACGGAAGGGTCGTGATTCAGTTAGAGAGACGAATTTAGGAATCAATTTGTTCGACGTTAAGGTATTCTATTAGGACTAAGGCCTTAAAACAAATATTTGCACATTAACTAGCTGCCATTAACCTCCTTGAGTTCAGATTCAGGGGGCACGGCCTTGTATAGCATTTAATCCCAAAATATTTTTTTTTTGTGAATACAAATACAAAAAGATAAGTCCTGCGCTCACTCTCATCACTCCTGGGCAACGACCACAGTACACATCAGCTCCAATACATATAGTAAAAACCAAAGAAAAAGTTACCTGCGCTCTCTCCTTAATCCCTATGTATATTTAAACAAATGGAGGTCATTTAGTTACTCCAATGGCCACTGGAGGGAATGCCCGCCTGCCAACATCAAGGCAGACCCCCCTAAGTGGGTCCTAACACTGACCCTTCAGCCTGTTTCCTTGAGCTTCTGGCAAAAATATCTCTAATGAGACAGAGAGGGAGTGAGCGCAGGAGGGGGGTCTGCCTTGACGTTGGCAGGCGGGCATTCCCTCCAGTGGCCATTGGAGTAACTAAATGACCTCCATTTGTTTATATATACATAGGGATTAAGGAGAGAGCGCAGGTAACTTTTTCTTTGGTTTTTAAATTTTTTTAGTAAGTTTTAAATTTCCATTAGCATTCATTTGAAACTAGTATTCTAGATTGGAACACTAAGCGTAATCCTAATTATTGTTTTATTTTTCATGGTAATTTCCTCGTTACATTTACGAACATTCTACCTGCTCGTCCCCTGGTTCTCAGGAATGGCCGAGCTCCACTATATATGCATTGAATTTTACACCAGAGAAGAGGCACTGGAGGATCACTGCAACCAATCGTTGAAACCGAAACGCCGTCAGAATAATTGTAACCCGCAAAGCTGCCCCCCAGGGTGAGTATACCAGATATATTTTAAAATGCATGTGTTGCTGCTCACTGTAAATTAGGAAGCAAAACTAAATGTAATGTCATTTAAATTCCTTATAACCTTACCTTATTCTAATTAATATGTTATCTCTTTTGTCCTCCACACTCGGTGCAGTTAGGTGGTGGGTAATATTTACCTGGTGGGCTACCCCTGCCTCTACCCATTGGCCTACAGAGTGAAAGATTAAATGGTAAAGGGACTTAGGGATCCTTGAGCCAGTAGAAGTGACGGGATGCCTAGCCTAGGACAAAAAAAAACAAAAAACTACAATCCCCCCCTCCCAACCCTACAGTGGCCAGGCCTCCCTAAGTGATTATGGTGGATATTAACTTAGAGGAGCACGATCACCTCAAATCCATTTTGAAAATAATAATCCTTTCACCATTTATTTTAAAATGGTGTATATGTAAAAACAAATGAGGAAAACCAACTCATCTCTCTCTTTAGTGTATGACAGGTTCCTGCAGCCATATACATACACCTTGGGTCAGACAGTGCTTGGAAACAAACAATTAATCTCTATGGTCTTTCTTGCTTCTGCGCAGTGAGTGAAGCAGGGAAGATCATAGAGACTAAGTGTTGGTTTCCAAACATTGTCTGACCTGAGGTGTATGTATATGGCTGAATGATCCTGTCAAATACTTAAATTAGGGATAATATTTTCTTATTTTTTGCATATTTCCTTGCAAAACTCGATGAAAATATTATTATATTATATATTATTAAAAATTTGTTTTGAGGTGACAGTTGTCCTTTAAGATCAAGGGATCCCCACTGGGTGAAAGAGAAATGTTTGAGGATTTTAGAATCCACTCAATTTCATCTGATTTCACCAAGAACCCCTGTGACTTGCATTACACAGTTTGTGTAGCACAATAATTAATCCATTCTTCCTACGTACATTACAGGTGGGAGGTGAGGGAGCGTACGCCGTGTCCTGTCACCTGTGGAGGAGGGACAATCCAACTCGATGTCTTCTGTGCAAGGAAGGAAAATGGCATCCTGCGTCGACTCCCTCATGCAAAGTGCAGTCAAATCCAGCGCCCAAATGGCACCAAAACATGTGGAACTCTACCCTGTCCAGTCCGGTAACATTACAACCACCATGTCTGGGGGAGCACATAAACAGCTGCCATTTGGGGGAAACGTGCAGCATATTTTTGTGCTTATATTAGCCTGGAGTTTCTCCAATGTAAAGACCCTGTATTTAATAACTCTGGTATTCGGCTACCTCTAAATATTATTAGTCATTTATGACAAAAGGGTCAAAAGCCGCCCAGGGAGTAAGTAATAGTAGTTAGAAATCTCTGAAGATGACCGGTATTTGGAAACAAATTAGTGGATAGCTGACCTTTTCCATTCACATAAACTGTGACATTCACTTTTAATTCCTGACAATTTACACAGTAGTGAATAACTTTGAATGTGTTTATTAGTAGGGGTCAGAACCTCAATTTTTGAGCCCCCCCGAAAAAATTAGTTGACACTCAAATGTTATTTCCTTTGTATCGCCTGCAGGTGGCACTATAAATCTGGCTCATGCAGTGTCAGCTGTGGTGGTGGCATTTTACTGAGAATCCTTTACTGCGTTAGAGAGGTCACGGGAGGAGATAGTAAAGAGCAAATCGTTGGAGATGCAGAATGCCAGCATCTACCTCACCCACAAGGACAAGAACCGTGCAACCAGCATCCCTGCCCCCCCAGGTACGTTAACTGTTTAATTTGCTGTATTAAGGTGTAGTATCACCATGCTATTCTGGAGTTAAATCATTTAAAGGACGTGGAAAAGACAGTGGGTTACATGACCATTCCACGGCTTGACACAACTCAGGAGCCAAAAACACGGGTCAAAGGCACTTACATACTCTAGATCCCTTAGATTTGTTTCTGGCACCTAAATACTAGCATACATCAAGCCCTGGGTTATTCTCATCCATTGGGTTCTTCTGTTGGCTTGACGATTGAGAAGATGTCTCAAGGTTCCATTTCTCCTCAGGTGGAAGGTGACAGAGACCGGTCAGTGCTCCTCGGCCTGTGGATATGGAATATCCAAGCAACATGTGGCCTGCGTGCAGACAGTTTCCAGGGCTGAAATTGAAGTGAATATAACAGCCTGCAGCCCTCAAGAGAAACCCCCCTCAATCATCCCCTGCTTTGTTGCCAACTGCATTTACCTATGGGAGAGTGGTGAATGGAGTCAGGTGAGGTCGATTTGTAACTGTCCAGACATTTCCAGGTTGGTTCCTGGAGCCTGAGACATGCGCGGTGAACGTGTCTTTAAAGAACCAAGTGATATCCACTTCTGTTACATTAGATTTGATTTAAATATATTAGGTCACTCTTGGATGGCATAGTACTGCAGAAAGAAAAAATGGCAAATTATTAAAGTGGACATTGTATCAGTTTTCTAATAGTTTTTTTTGTTTTTTATTTAGATAAGATGATATATACATTATTTTAAAAGCAAATCATATAATACTCTTTAACAAGTTATCACCAAAGATAGTATTTATGCATCATAATGCATTTTATGAAAATTTTACTTTTGTCAAGTTCTGAGCAAAGATAAATCAAAGGTTTAAAATATTTGAAGTGGTTATGGTTCCTGGAGTTTGTATGTACAGCAAAGGCTGCGCAACCGGAGTGTCATTGGTGTGTCATTAGCCAGCCCTGAACTAGAATTCCCAGCTGGCTAATGGCAATTCTGTGCAGATTTCATCATACAGAACTGCATTTATTGGCTGAGAGCAGCAATGGGGCACCAGCTCCCGGCACTTCTGCTTCCAGACGTCCATTGCTCTCTGCGGTGCGATAAGAGAAAGGGTTACCCAGGCAAGTGCTGATAAACTGAAATAATCAGGTCCTGTATGTCAACTTTAGCATTGACGCCAAGCTATGTCTATCATCAGGGGACAGTCATAACTTGTAAATTTACAAGGGACTTGTAAAACTTGAGGCCAAAAAAGATGATCTAGAAAAATAGCTGATTTTACAGTTTGGCTACTTTGGTGTAGAATTTGAAATTCTCCCATTAAAAAAATAATCCCTCCAGTAATTGCTTTTCACTAACCTTTTCCGTGGTGCCTCTCTCTCTCTTGCCACATTCAGTGTTCAGCTACTTGTGGAAATGGCATCCAAACGCGGCACAGTTTGTGCGTCAATCAGAAGACTGGTCAGCAGGTGAGCCCCACGTTCTGCGGACACACTGCAAAACCTCTTACAATGCGGGGTTGCTCGGGGCATTCGTGCCAGGAAGATACTTTAATACCAGGAACACCAGTGCCACCCACCGACGTGCCGGTTGTGGAAGCATCAGATACTCCCTACATGAGCACTCAGCACAAAGTTACAGCCATCCCTCCTGATAACCTCCCTGCAGTCAGATCACGTGGAATGGAGGAGCAGTACACAGACAACAGTAAGTATTGTTAAATCAAAAGCCTCAGTGTACATGGATCCCCCTATCCCCTGCCCCAGTATTTAGTACTGTTACCCTCTGTTCCAGTATCTGGTACCGTTACGCTCTGCTCCCGTATCTAGTACCATTACTCTCTGTTCCAGTATCTGGTACCATTACCCTCTGCTCCAGTATCTGGTACCGTTAACCTCTGCTCCAGCATCTGGAACCATTACCCTCTGCTCCAGTATCTGGTACCATTAACCTCTGCTCCAGTATCTAGTACCATTACCATCTGCTCCAGTGTCTAGTACCGTTACCCTCTGTTCCAGTATCTTGTGCTATTACCCTCTGCTCCAGTATCTGGTACCATTACCCTCTGCTCCAGTATCTAGTACCATTACCCTCTGTTTCAGTATCTGGTACCACTACCCTCTGCTCCAGTATCTGGTACCATTACCCTCTGTTCCAGTATCTAGTACTGTTACCCTCTGTTCCAGTATCTGGTACTATTACCCTCTGCTCCAGTATCTGGTACCATTACCCTCTGTTCCAGTATCTAGCACCATTACCCTCTGCCCCAGTATCTAGTACCATTACCCTCTGTTCCAGTATCTGGTACCATTAACCTCGTCTCCAGTATCTGGTACCATTACCCTCTGTTCCAGTATCTAGTACCGTTACCATCTGTTCCAGTATCTGGTACCATTACCCTCGTCTCCAGTATCTAGTGCCGTTACCCTCTGTTCCAGTATTTGGTACCATTACCCTCTGTTCCAGTATCTAGTGCCGTTACCCTCTGTTCCAGTATCTGGTACCATTACCCTCTGTTCCAGTATCTAGTACCGTTACCATCTGTTCCAGTATCTGGTACCATTACCCTCTGTTCCAGTATCTAGTGCCGTTACCCTCTGTTCCAGTATCTGGTACCATAACCCTCTGTTCCAGTATCTAGTGCTGTTACCCTCTGTTCCAGTATCTGGTACCATTACCCTCTGTTCCAGTATCTGGTACCGTTACCCTCTGTTCCAGTATCTGGTACCATTACCCTCTGTTCCAGTATCTAGTACCGTTACCATCTGTTCCAGTATCTGGTACCATTACCCTCTGTTCCAGTATCTAGTGCCGTTACCCTCTGTTCCAGTATCTGGTACCATTACCCTCTGCTCCAGTATCTGGTACCATTACCCTCTGTTCCAGTATCTGGTACCATTACCCTCTGCCTCAGTATCCAGCTGTCTTTACACTTGTGTGAGTTTGTAGCATCCACACCTTTCCTATGTTTTAGCTCCACTTGTCTCATATGCCCATTGCAATGTGTCTTGAACTCTGTCTTACCCGTACTGTCCCCACCAGGTATCTGTGGGCAGCTTTTCCTGAACTCATCAGGAATATTGAGCACAGTTGGTTTAGTTGGTAGTTCCTGCATGTTTTCCATCGGACGCCCACTGGGAGAGGTGATCTTCGTTAAGGTGCTCGCCAGCTCTCTGAATTGTGCTGCCGGTACGTCTACTTTAATAGGAGCCATGTGCATCTTCTATCTTTGCAGCAGGGAAAGTACAGGAGGACTGCCAAACTGGACCTTCATGTAATATTATTGGATAAGCTTTTCAAATGATATAATATAATGACAAATATTTTAATTTTGTAATATATTGATATTTTTTGATGGATTGACATATTTTTTTTATACGTTATATATATTTTGATATTGAACATTTTAAATAAAACCATTTAAATAAAAAACAGTTAATCATTTGAAAAGCTTATCAAAAATATTAAGTCGAGGCCCTAGTTGGAAAAAAAAAAAATAATTTTTCAAATCTTGGGAAGAACAAACACATTTGAAATCAGATCAACAGAACATAATCTCTTTAAAATCAGAGCATTAAATAGCTGGCTGTTTTAGGTCAAACTAAAAACACGGGTGACTTGGGGAATTTTTCTAGTTTGGCTATTTTACCCTAACTTTAATTTCACTTTGAATTTTTGACACTTTAGTGTTTAACTATGCTGAGTATGGAGAGTATAAATATTAAAGTGTATCTACGGACAGGCTACATGCGTCCATTAAAGTTTAACGCTGTGCATTTCACACCATGGACTGTCTGTTTAACCCGTTCTGCCCTGCGTTCGCAGGAGATATGCTGTTGTTCCACGGACGAACGATGTGGCAGAAAAAATGCAACCGTCTAGATGGGGTGACTATCAACTCCAGATCAAACATCCTGACGGTGAGACAGCGGCAAACTCACCCGGGAAACGGAGTGGAACTGGAATACTGGAGCGAACGAGCAAAGCAAAACCAATCCAGGGGTATTGTATGCTGATCGCGAAATATCCATGAACAATGCATTATCTTCGAATTAGGCGGAATATTGTTTTGGGGGAGGGGCTGTGGAGATATCGTAAGATTCACGGTACATTATATGTACAACAACTACTTCATCGCCTTGAAGTGGTTATAGTGCCTGGAGTCCTGTGGCGATGTCTCTCCATTCAGTGTTCAACCATTTTGAGCAGTTTAACACTAAATAAGGATCCCCGGCCACCATTAGAGGCGTGGCAAAGGCAGAGATTACACACTTCCTTGTAGCCATACCAATTCATACCAGCAATAGGCGTTGTGATTTGCTGAATGCAATCAGCTGACACCCGCAGCCGATCACAGTAACCCATTGCTGCTCTGGCTAATACTTCCTCCATAGTCCAAGCAGCACAGAGGGTATGGGCTTCTGGGGACTCTCGTTTAGCATTAACACATTATAAACGGTTTAACACTGGAAGGACAGCGCCAGGGGACTCCAGACACTATAACCACTTCAATGGGGTGTCCCTTTAATATGAACTGCACCCAGTTATTCCAAACTCATGCCTTGATCTAACATTGCCTACATTATTACATTATTCTATGTCCTGATCTATCCATTCCTAAATATATGTGAGTGTGTTTTTTGTGTAGGGTTGTGCTTGTTTGCTATCTGACTTGCCATTACTCCAGTAATGATGTTGATATTGGGATTAGGTGTAACTGTAGCTATCATTCTAAGATTTAGAGAAGTATATTTTTATCTGTCGCCATATTCTGTTTGTTCTTGAAGACTGTGACGTCCAGCTCTTCGGGATGCATGGTATTATCCAAAATCCTGTTCAGTCGTGGCAGGATGGATGGACCCCTGCATGCCGTATCTTCATTGATGTGCCCCCGCAGTATAATATCTTCATACATGCTCTGTACATGAACCTCGAGACGGGAAGTAACGAGACAGACTCCAACTATATACTGGTGAGACCCCAGAGATACTGACAGTGTTAGTTGTAAGCAGCCATTGGGGTGATCAATAGGGGCAAAACATAAATGAGCCCCACCCTGCTTATTATTTAGATTATGGGTTAGCTCCTCCCACTCCACTGGCGGACCAGGAAATAAACTTAAAAGAAGACAAATAGAATATAACTAATTTTTAAAGGACCCCCCAGCACCATGATCACTACAGCATTTTGCACAGCTTTTCGTAGGGGGGTTTGGGCTGTGACTGTGGTTACCATCCATTTAGTTTTTACTTTGTTATGGGAACACTATGGTGTGTACCATAACTACTTTACCAGCGCCCTTTTGGTCCCTCTGGCGCTTCTCGATGACTCCGTGAGCTACAGACAGCATTCTGAGTCGTCGACTGAGCTCCAGAACCATAAAGCACTCTTAACGTTGTCTGTACCTGAAATTAGTGTTGTTATGGTACTTAGAATGTCCCCTTGGATACAAAATAAGATGAATTAGTATGAAATGTTGTTCATTCACCTGTACTTTTCTACCGTCTAGATCCGTGACTTAAAAACATCGACAGCATTTCACGGAAACCACATGTTTCTTTGGAGCTCTTCAGGAAGCCAGGCAGAAATAGAGTTTCACGGGGAATTTTCGAAAGAGATTGTCAGCTTCCAGGCCGAGTACTGGGCGCAAAATCAAAGGCAGAGAAGCAGAAGACAAGCTACCCATGGCTGACATGAAAAAATTTAATTTCCAGAAACAATTCGTCAATCACAAACTTCAAACTACATTTTATATCATCTTATTTATGGTTAAACACACATTTTTAAAGGGATCGGAAGCAGTGCTTATTTAAGGGTAATAAATACATAGTATACTTAATAAAATGTAATAAATAATGAGAAAACATAAACTCAGCTGTAGAAATTATTTATTTTATTTTTATAGTCGTTTGCTCATTGAGTGCCATAGAGAATTTTCTGACGCAGTGTTACTTCACATGACTTTTGTGACGTTGCAATCCGTTTCAAACAATTCAACTTCTATACAGCATACAGAGAGCAATCCATTTGGAGTATCCAAAATGTATATGGAAATATAGAATTTTAGATTTAAAAAAAAAATTATGTGTATATATATATATATATATATATATATATATCTCAAATTCATCACATACAATATTTTAGTGTAACGGAACCGCTGGCACCCCGACCGGGTACCTTCCGCCGACGGATGCTCCTAGTGCTTTCCGAGGACTCCAAGCACTCTGCCTGACACCATAACCACCGCAGACCCCACGAACCGCCGCAGCTTGGTTGGGGTCTCGCCGTCTCCACCCACTCTGGACCCAGGACCAGGGTCCAGCTTCCAGCAGGTCGACCTCTCTCCGAATTCCAGAGAGCAGGAACAGGAACAAGCTCTTAGCAGAGCAGTGATTATACCCTGGGGAGTATAGTGATTATAGCAATCCCCAGAGTGTAGTTTCTCCAATCCCCCAAACATGAGCCGAAACTTCATGAAGGTACAAGATGATCTGACTCCAATGAGCGTTTATTACTCCTTATATACAAGTTTTCAGGTCAGAGGCACACCCTCTGGACCTGGTGGTAAACTGTGACAAAAGGGACACAAACCAATGGGAACACTAATTAACATGATAACACTCTCACATAAACAATGAAATCCCTCCTCTCCATCCTGGAGATAATTGGCTTAAGGCACTGCAGTAAACTCAATTATCTCCAGGTACAGAAAATATCTACATTTTAAACTTACAGCAAAAATACGTAAAAGTACATAAAAATACATAATTCTTATTATATTACACAGAACCCCCACATTTAACCTATCCCCAGATAGCTCGGATCTGAGCGCCCAATCTAGGTGAACAATAGACAGGAAACGGGGGAGGGGAAGAAACACACCTTCCCATGGATTCCAATGGGAAGAAACTGTCTTTAGAAGCCAATAAGCCCCAAATAGTCTTTTTTAAATGGCAATACACCCCAGGGCCATAGTCATGAGGAAGGAGGCTGGCAATCAGGCTCCTCCAAAAGCCGGGGGCAAAGGGCAGCTTGTCACCTAACAATCTAGGGACAAAAGGCATTTCGTCACACATCTCCCCTTTGGGGGGGAGACTAACCAGGTACCTGACCTGTCGGTCAGTGCCTGAGTTAGTCGATAAACCCACCCACAGTGAACAAGTACATGGGTAGCCCACCCACAAATAACAAGTGGCAAAGTAGCCCCCCCACAATAAACAGTACTGGCCGGTAGGTTCCAGGTGGTAGGATACAAATGCAGCATCCTCGGCCTTCCTGGTGCAGCTGGGCAAATAGCTTGTGGTACTTGGGGGGCAAAGGCCAGCTGTGCTCTGCCCTGATGTCAGCTCTTGCGCTGGGATAGCCGGCAGAATGTCAAGCTCTGTACAAGGGTCAAAGGGAGGGCAGAGGCCAACTGCACTCTGCCCAGCTGCCAGCTCTTCCGCTGGTATAGGCTGCAGGACATCAGGCTCTGGACAAGTGACACAGGGAGGGCAGAGGCCGACTGCACTCTGCCCAGCTGTCAGCTCTTCTGCTGGGGTGCTGGGAACATAGTCCAGCTCAGTAGCCAGGGGAACATGGGAGTCAGTGGGGGTTAACATCTCCTCTGTTAACCCTGGGGCCAAGTTAGGAGTTAGCTGGGGAGGGGAATTCGTACTTACCCCCTCCTCCTGTTGTCCCTGTGAGGGTAGTTGGAGATCTGGACAGGCTGTCCAGCATCCCTGTAGGTCGGGCACGGAGACCACGTTCCCCTCTGCGCCATCTGGGAGAATGGTGTCTCCCCTTGGTAGGGTAAGCTGCCGCTGGGGAGATAGGGTGCTGTGCTCCTCTCCCTGAAACACAGTCTGCCGCTGGAGAGGGAGACCGCCTGTCTCCACTCCCATAACATTGTCCTGCTGCTGGAGAGAGAGACCAACTGTCTCTGCTCCCGGTAGGACACACTGCTGCTGGGGGGGAAGGACGACACCTTCGGCCCCCTGGAATTCACACTGCCGCTGGGGAGGAAGGGCGACACCTTCAGCTCCCTGTAATTCACACTGCTGCTGGGGAGGAAGGACGACACCTTCGGCTCCCTGTAATTCACACTGCCGCTGGGGAGGAAGGACGACACCTTCGGCTCCCTGTAACTTGCACTGTCGCTGGGGAGAGAGACCGGTTGTCTCTTCTCCCTTGTCAACACACTGCCGTTGGGGAGTAAGACCGACTGTCTCGACTCCCAGTGATGATGGTTGCTGCAGGGACGAGGGACCGACAATCTCCTCTCCCTGGGATGCTGTCTGCCGCTGGGGAGAGAGACCGGTTGTCTCCTCTCCCTTGACAACCCACTGCCGCTGGGGAGTCAGAGCGACTGTCTCAACTCCCAGTGATGATGGTTGCTGCAGGGACGAGGGACCGACAATCTCCTCTCCCTGGGATGCTGTCTGCCGCTGGGGAGAGAGACCGGTTGTCTCTTCTCCCTTGACAATACACTGCCGCTGGGGAGGAAGGACGACACCTTCGGCTCCCTGTAACTTGCACTGCCGCTGGGGAGAGAGACCGGTTGTCTCTTCTCCCTTGTCAACACACTGCCGCTGGGGAGTCAGACCGACTGTCTCAACTCCCAGTGATGATGGTTGCTGCAGGGACGAGGGACCGACAATCTCCTCGCCCTGTGATGCTGTCTGTCCCTGGGGAGAGAGATCAATTGGCCACAGCCCCAATCTCCGCAATCGGAGCTCAAATTCCCATGCCGCTCGATTCTCGTCATCCAACTTGCGCATGGTTGCCAGAATCGCCTCTGTCGAAAGATTCGGGCCATATCTGGTTAACCGCCTCTTGACCTCCTCCCTGTAAGCGTCGCCCTCAAAGCGATAGGTCATGTTTGCTGTTTGCTGTGAACAGGGGCGCTGTACGAATACTAGCGTTGCCCTCAAATTGTAATTCCAAATGTTACCGGTGCCTCTGCGCTGCTTCTCCTCGCACTAGGACGCCATCCCACCGCTGCCACCACTGTAACGGAACCGCTGGCACCCCGACCGGGTACCTTCCGCCGACGGATGCTCCTAGTGCTTTCCGAGGACTCCAAGCACTCTGCCTGACACCATAACCACTGCAGACCCCACGAACCGCCGCAGCTTGGTTGGGGTCTCGCCGTCTCCACCCACTCTGGACCCAGGACCAGGGTCCAGCTTCCAGCAGGTCGACCTCTCTCCGAATTCCAGAGAGCAGGAACAGGAACAAGCTCTTAGCAGAGCTTAGTGATTATACCCTGGGGAGTATAGTGATTATAGCAATCCCCAGAGTGTAGTTTCTCCAATCCCCCAAACATGAGCCGAAACTTCATGAAGGTACAAGATGATCTGACTCCAATGAGCGTTTATTACTCCTTATATACAAGTTTTCAGGTCAGAGGCACACCCCCTGGACCTGGTGGTAAACTGTGACAAAAGGGACACAAACCAATGGGAACACTAATTAACATGATAACACTCTCACATAAACAATGAAATCCCTCCTCTCCATCCTGGAGATAATTGGCTTAAGGCACTGCAGTAAACTCAATTATCTCCAGGTACAGAAAATATCTACATTTTAAACTAACAGCAAAAATACGTAAAAGTACATAAAAATACATAATTCTTATTATATTACACAGAACCCCCACATTTAACCTATCCCCAGATAGCTCGGATCTGAGCGCCCAATCTAGGTGAACAATAGACAGGAAACGGGGGAGGGGAAGAAACACACCTTCCCATGGATTCCAATGGGAAGAAACTGTATTTAGAAGCCAATAAGCCCCAAATAGTCTTTTTTAAATGGCAATACACTCCAGGGCCATAGTCATGAGGAAGGAGGCTGGCAATCAGGCTCCTCCAAAAGCCGGGGGCAAAGGGCAGCTTGTCACCTAACAATCTAGGGACAAAAGGCATTTCGTCACATTTAGCATCTGCCGAAAGAAGGCAAATCCAACCCCGATAATCGAGCAGGAGATTGAGAGGAGAAGATCTCACCTAATCGTTTTAAAAATTAGCAGGGTTATTAACTAAAGGGAGAATTCAAAGTGAATTTCAAATTTAAGGTCAAAATATAGTAGAAAACTCAACCATGCTACCGGTTTAGCTACTTTTACTTAAATTTGAAATAACTCTATAAATGACAGTTTTTACATTCCTATAACTTTATTGCATAATTGTGTTTTTGTGAGAAATTAAATTTTTATAGATCTATAATAAATACTAATTTAGGGAGGTTCGATACGCCTATGTGATAGGGTACAATTTTGCTCATATAATATTACATGGTTACGTAAGGAATATTTGTTGTAAGGGTACGCCACGCTAGATTTCCTTTGGTTGCTATGACGATGCTCGTTTCGAAAAACTTGCCCTGAATTAGCGTAACCCAGCGAAAGCATAACATGATTTTGCTGCCCTTTATGCAGACACCATTTTAAATTATTTGATAATTTTTATATCTTTTCTTGTTACGCCTACTGTAAATTACCAAACTGGTATGTGCTGCCATCAGACACATATCACCCATTAAGCAGCGTGGGTGGGTCCCTGACTGAGTCTGGAGTACCAGCTCTGTCTGTGAGGGGCCAGACCTGGGCTCTCCATCAGGTAAAACAGGCAAATGTCCAGGTTTCAGAATAGCCGTGGGCTGAGACCAGCAGGGAGATCATATTATTTGCTCTGCCTGACCAAGAGCTATCAAAGCACCGGTCTTGCTGTGTGCATTAATGGGCCAGTGACTTCACCAGTCCAAAGAATAATACGGTGGTTGGGGGCTTGCGGGAGGCTCTAGCTGCACCTCACCTGCGGACAGACAGAGTATTGCTCCGGCAAGCTTCGGCCTGTCACATGGAACTACCAAACACACAAACTACAGCCACTGTATACACACTGAATGCCCTACACATTCACTACATTCCCACATACAAACTACAGCCACTGTATACACACTAAATGCCCTACACATTTACTACATTCCCACACACAAACTACAGCCGCTTTACACACACTGAATCCCCTACACATTCACTACATCCCCACACACAAACTACAGCCACTTTACACACACTGAATTCCCTACACATTCACTACATTCCCACATACAAACTACAGCCGCTTTACACACACTGAATTCCCTCACATTCACTACATTCCCACACACATACTACAGCTAATGTACACACACTGAATCCCCTACACACACACTACATTCCCACACAAAAACTATAGCCACTGTACACACACAGAATCCCCTACACCTTCACTACATTCCCGCACACAAACTATAGCCACTGTACACACACTGAATCCCCTACACATACACTACATTCCCACACACAAACTACAGCTAATTTACACACACTGAATGCCCTACACATACAATTTCAAGCATTCCCACACACACAAACTAAGGTGAAGCTTCTGGCCACACACTGAATGCCCTACACATTCACTAAGCATCCTGGCCACCACACAAACTACAGCCACTTTTACACACACTTGAATCCCTGCACACATACACTACATTCCCACACACATACTACAGCTAATTTACACACTGAATCCCCTACACATACACTACATTCCCACACACAAACTATAGCCACTGTACACACACTGAATCCCCTACACATACACTACATTCCCACACACAAACTATAGCCACTGTACACACACTGAATCCCCTACACATACACTACACTCCCACACACAAACTACAGCTAATTTACACACACTGAATGCCCTACACATTCACTACATTCCCACACACAAACTACAGCTGCTTTACACACACTGAATGCCCTATACATTCACTACATTCCCACACACAAACTACAGCCGCTTTACACACACTGAATGCCCTACACATTCACTACATTCCCACACACAAACTACAGCTAATTTACACACACTGAATGCCCTACACATTCACTACATTCCCACACACAAACTACAGCTAATTTACACACTGAATGCCCTACACATTCACTACATTCCCACACACAAACTACAGCTGCTTTACACACACTGAATGCCCTACACATTCACTACATTCCCACACACAAATTACAGCTGCTTTACACACACTGAATGCCCTACACATTCACTACATTCCCACACACAAACTACAGCTAATTTACACACTGAATGCCCTACACATTCACTACATTCCCACACACAAACTACAGCTGCTTTACACACACTGAATGCCCTACACATTCACTACATTCCCACACACAAATTACAGCCGCTTTACACACACTGAATGCCCTACACATTCACTACATTCCCACACACAAACTACAGCTAATTTACACACTGAATGCCCTACACATTCACTACATTCCCACACACAAACTACAGCCGCTTTACACACACTGAATGCCCTACACATTCACTACATTCCCACACACAAACTACAGAAGCTTCACACACACTGAATGCCCTACACATTCACTGCATTCCCACACACAAACTACAGCCACTTTACACACACTGAATCCCCTACACATACACTACATTCCCACACACATACTACAGCCACTTTACACACACTGAATGCCCTACGCATTCACTACATTCCCACACACAAACTACAGCCACTTTACACACACTGAATCCCCTACACATACACTACATTCCCACACACAAACTATAGCCACTGTACACACACTGAATCCCCTACACATACACTACATTCCCACACACAAACTACAGCTAATTTACACACACTGAATGCCCTACACATTCACCTCATTCCCACACACAAACTACAGCCGCTTTACACACACTGAATGCCCTACACATTCACTACATTCCCACACACAAACTACAGCCGCTTTACACACACTGAATGCCCTACACATACACTACATTCCCACACACAAACTACAGAAGCTTCACACACACTGAATGCCCTACACATTCACTACATTCCCACACACAAACTACAGCCACTTTACACACACTGAATCCCCTACACATACACTACATTCCCACACACATACTACAGCCACTTTACACACACTGAATGCCCTACGCATTCACTACATTCCCACACACAAACTACAGCCACTTTACACACACTGAATCCCCTACACATACACTACATTCCCACACACAAACTATAGCCACTGTACACACACTGAATCCCCTACACATACACTACACTCCCACACACAAACTACAGCTAATTTACACACACTGAATGCCCTACACATTCACTACATTCCCACACACAAACTACAGCTGCTTTACACACACTGAATGCCCTATACATTCACTACATTCCCACACACAAACTACAGCCGCTTTACACACACTGAATGCCCTACACATTCACTACATTCCCACACACAAACTACAGCTAATTTACACACACTGAATGCCCTACACATTCACTACATTCCCACACACAAACTACAGCTAATTTACACACTGAATGCCCTACACATTCACTACATTCCCACACACAAACTACAGCTGCTTTACACACACTGAATGCCCTACACATTCACTACATTCCCACACACAAACTACAGCTAATTTACACACTGAATCCCCTACACATTCACTACATTCCCACACACAAACTATAGCCACTGTACACACACTGAATTCCCTACACATACACTACATTCCCACACACAAACTACAGCTGCTTTACACACACTGAATGCCCTACACATTCACTACATTCCCACACACATACTACAGCCGCTTTACACACACTGAATGCCCTACACATTCACTACATTCCCACACACAAACTATAGCCACTGTACACACACTGAATCCTCTACACCTACACTACATTCCCACACACAAACTACAGCCACTGTACACACAATGAATACCCCCCCACACACACACACACACACTACAGCAACTTTACATACACACTGAATCCCCCATACAAACACACTACATTCCCACACCCACAAACTACAGCCATTGTACACAAAATTAATCCCCTATTCCCATAATTATGCATTATGGGAGTTGTAGTCCCCTTTACTGTGGATGATGGGCATTGTGGTCCCCTTACTATGAAAGATGCGAGTGGTAGCCCCCTTGTTATGGATGATGGGAGATGTGGTCCCCTTACTAAGTGGTAGCTCCCTTATTATGGATGATGGGAGTGGTGGTCCCCTTACTAAGTGGTAGCTCCCTTATTATGGATGATGGGATTGGTGGTCGCCCTGCTATGGATGATGGGAGTGGTAGTGCTCTCTCTGTAAGGGGAATCCCAGGACCAGGGTCATGCAGTGACGTCATAGTCCCGCCCCCCGGGCAGTTCCTCCCACAATGCAGCGCGGTGCTGAGTGACGTGGAGAGAGGATCATCGGCTTATTGTCACCAGAGACCGACCGGGAGCCGGGTGAGTGCGCACTGAGTGAGTGAGTGAGTCATACTGAGTGAGTGATAGATACTGAGTGCGCACTGACTGAGTGAGTGAGTATTTACTGCCAAGGACTGATCTACTGGGTCTGACCTGAGTGCGCACTGACTGTCAGAGAACAAACTAGTGGGGGCAGGCTGAGTGTGAGCTCAGATATTGGGGGGGGTAAGGCCGAGGAGCCTGTGATATTGGGGGACAGGCTGAGTGTGAGCTCAGATATTGGGGACAGGCTGAGTGTGAGCCTCAGATATTGGGGGCAGGCTGAGGTGAGCTCAGATATTGTGGGACAGGCTGAGTGTGAGCTCAGACATTGGGGGGGGACAGGCTGGAGTGTGAGCTAGATATTGGGGGGGACAGGCTGTGTGTGAGCTCAGATATTGGGGGGGGACAGGCTGGAGGTGAGCTCAGATACACATACTGGGGACAGGCTGAGTGTGAGCTTAGATATTGGGGGGGGACAGGCTGTAAAAGAGCTCAGATATTGGGGGTAGGCTGTGTGTGATTCAGATATTGGGGGGGGCAGGCTGTGTGTGTGAGCTCAGATATTGGGGGGGACAGGCTGTGTGTGAGCTCAGATATTGGGGGGGGACAGGCTGAGTGAGCCTGTGATATTGGGGACAGGCTGGAGTGTGAGCTAGATATTGGGGGTATTAGGATGTGTGAGAGCTCAGATATTGGGGTAGGCTGTGTGTGTGAGCTCAGATATTGGGGGCAGGCTGTGTGTGAGCCTCAGATATTGGGGTGATACAGGCTGGAGGTGAGCCCAGATATTGGGGGGCAGGCTGAGTGTGAGCTCAGATTAAAGGGCTGAGGTGAGCTCAGATATTGGGGGGGGGGCAGGCTGAGGTGAGCTCAGATATTGGGGTGACAGGCTGGAGTGTGAGCTCAGATATTGGGGGTGACAGGCTGAGGCGTGAGCTCAGATATTGGGGGGGACAGGCTGTGTGTGAGCTCAGATATTGGGGGGCAGGCTGTGTGAGCCTCAGATAATAAAGCAGGGCTGTGTGTGAGCTCAGATATTGGGGGGACAGGCCGAGTGTGAGCCTGTATATTGGGGGGGCAGGCTGTGTGAGCTCAGATATTGGGGGGCAGGCTGAGTGTGAGCCTGTGATATTGTGGGCAGGCTGATGTGAGCTCAGATATTGGGGGGGGACAGGCTGAGGTGAGCTCAGATATTGGGGGGGCAGCTGAGTGTGAGCTCAGATATTGGGGGGCAGGCTGAGTGTGTGAGCTCAGGATATTAGCAGGCTGAGGTGAGCTCAGATATTGGGGGCAGGCTGAGTGTGAGCTCAGATATTGGGGGGGCAGGCTGAGTGTGAGCTCAGATATTGGGGGGACAGGCTGAGTGTGAGCTCAGATATTGGGGGGGGCAGGCTGAGTGACAGGGAGATAAAGTATGTAGATTTTTGGAGGTGAGTAGGATATAGTAGCACTCACAGTACAGAGATTTATATCAGGGAGCACTTCCTTTACAGTGGTTTTGGTGGAGGGAGATGTGTATAGTTTGAACTCACACTTACTATGTTACAGCACTGTGATTTAGGGTCCAGGGGTGATTTAACCAAGGGAAGATTATCACGTAGATGCTGTACAGTGACAGTGACTGAGTATATAACCAGTTCATGCTTTAAGAAAATGTTTTATTTTTCTGAAAACCCAAAGGGTCATCACCATTCAGGAATGCAGCTATTACCCTAGAATCCACTCTGGGAACGGCTACAACACTACAAGGAAGGACAGACTAAGGAGCCTGGGTATCCCAGCTAAAACACCTTCACTGGGACTCCTGGAGGGATGAACAACGTGGAGCCAGACGCTACCGCCCCAGTGGAACCAGCTCAAGTTCAGGATGACGGTATGACCTGGTGGTACCGATGGCTGTGCCGGCTAGCTGGGGTCGTTGGCGGGATATGTAAGTATGGCAATCGTAGAATGCTTTTAAAGTTACAATGTATCCCAAATCACTTCGGCTTTGAAAGAACTGTGAGACTTCTTATTCTAATCATTAAGTTGAAAATCAACTCTACATGAGCTTAGCCAGAATTTTATTATTTACTAGCTTGGGGATTTAAACCATACTTTTTACACAGATGACCTAAAATTGCATTTCTTTCTTGCAGTTCTTTGTGGGAAAAAATACAAATCTTAGTGTTGAGCCACAGTGGGCTATTGTGTCTTGTATGACCAGTGGGTGCTGTCAAATATCTGGGTTATCAGAGATAACTGGAGTTAAGTTATGTAACCGGTCACATTGTGTGAGGGTTGGAGACACTGACTCATTTGGGGAGGTACTAAATGACTAAATGACTAATCTATCACATGGGATCTTTGTTTATATTTGTGACTTGAGGTTTGTGTAGTGGAGTCTGACATTGCTTTATAAACACAAGTTAACAAAAAAAAGCCAGTTGTTCCAGTATTAATGCCAAAGCCATTATTTGTCTACTTAACTATTTAGATAAAGGGGCTCTTTGCCAAGCTCGGATTGTGCATTACAAATTGCTACATTTCTATAGTCTAGCAAAGGGTGCACATTTAGAGATTGTCTTCAAATTTTGATTCAAAGTTCTTTGATGCATGCTACAAAAACAAAAAAAAAAGACTAAAATGTACCTTGGACACTTATTAAACTCAAGTTTGTTTCCAATTTGGCCATGAATTCATTATTTTGAGGTCAATTCACAGATTTCACTTTGCTGGCCGCAGTCCCAAGTAGTGCATAATAGTGCAAAGAGTTAGTCATTGATTTCACTAACACTTATCCCTTCTGTCCCATAGGAGATACAATATATAGAATTTATTTATGTTTGTACATTACAACTAACAATTCAGATGTTTTCTTAATATATTGATTTATTTGAGCTGTGTTGGCATCCAAATTCTGCATTGTAAAAACAGTAAAAAAAAAAAAAAAAATTGTAAAAATCTCTATGTATTTTAAAGGGAAAATATATTGGCTTTTTTCCACCTGCTGCATTAATAGAGTTTTATATACTGGATTTTAGGCTACAGGTACATTTTATTTAACTTTCTTTCCCCCTGCAGATCTTGCAGAAGTATCTGGAGAATTAAAGAGGAATTTGCAAATTCACCAGACCATTAGAATTCATGAATAGGCCAGACCTTTACGACATGTGAGATTTAGCACCACAGCAGCCAAATTGACCTTGGCACCACTGTATAATTGTGATCTACTTTTCACAAGATTCTCTGCAAGCCTTCAATCCAAATAAGCATTATGTGGAACGTTAGTACACAAGCATCTTTAGTGCCAAGGTTCACATCGCCAGCCTAAATCCTCCTGTAAACAACCTGGTCGGCTGGCTGTAAATATATTGAGCTGAGATACTTGATCCTGAAACCGTTTTACGATGCCTTGGCCCACAGTCCTTTGCGTGCTTGAGGAACCCAGCATGTAAAAAATGTAACATCAATGATTTATATGGCTGCAGTGGTTAGCCACCCACTGATATTATGTACTAAACGATAGAACATGCTGTTTTGTTAAAAACACAATTTTCCCCCCAGCTATACCCTGTCTCTTTCCTCCCCTCCCCGGCAGCTGATATTTCACTTGGGAGAAATGTCAAGCGACACTCCTACTGAGCGCTGTCAGACGAGAACAGTGCGTGTATCGTATGAATAGGAAACCATGCATGTTTAATGAACATGTGGGTGCTGTGACAAAGCCGAGCTAGGTCCCCAAAGGCCAAGGCAGCCTTTGTGTTCCAGGAATGCGGTTTTCCACGTAGAGACACGGGAAATTCTTCTTCTTGGAGAAAACCCTTATTTTGCTTTATGATCTGTAGTCAGTAAAGAAATGTAAAATACATCAGGATGAATGCTTTAGCATTTCTGGGATCGCTGCATTCTTGTAAAAGAAAAGGCGAGTCTGCAAATTTAAGGGTACAGAGTAGCCATCTTGCTTTTCTAGCCTACAGTTGACAATCTAGTTTTTGTGATAATATTGCTTTACAGGTTTACTGCTTTCAGAGTGGTGTATATAGTTACTATTACTGTCCAGCACCCCCTGCAAGTTTAAATAATATATATTTATTCTATACTGGTGTGCATAGTGGAAGCAACACATTTAGAGCGTGCAGTGTTGGTAGTTACATTTTAAGAACAGTAAAAAAAATTTTAACAAATTATGTCTGTGTAACCAAGAGCAATGTTTGACATCTTACTCTGAAAACGTGGGGCTGCTTGTTTTCTCAGGGTTTAGTGTAAAAAAATGTTAGTGTCCTTGTCATCATTATCCTGTAAGTCTTGTGGACTTTTAATATTTGATTTTTTTTGAATATTTGTTTTGTTAATACATGTCAATGATAAGATTTCACTCTAAGTACACTTTTAGTATTTATGGCCACTTACCATTGATTAGTGACGGCTGTCCCTGCTGTTTCCTATTATATGCCATGCTTAGCTGCCATGCACACATCCGGGGTACCAAAATTAGACATTTTTGCTTCAGAACTTTGTTCTTTCAACCTGTTCAGCAGTCTAAGAACATTTTATACCTTGCCAGAGAATTGTGGGTGGTGTAATAGCTTAAGAGCTAAGATTGTTTTATACTGTTTAGTGATGTTACTGTACCATCAATATAAAGTATGAGACACGGTACTGCTGCGGAGGGATTTGATCTGTGAGCTTTGGGAAAAAATTTAATAAACTGTATGTATGTATATTGTCTTTTATATGAAATATTCAGGGCTATTCACTGAAGTGCTAATTATTGATAATTCAAAGTGAATTTTATATTTAAGGCCAAAATAGCCCCACTGCAACCATAACTATTGAATTAAAATTTAATGTTTTAGTGAATAATCCTGACATGCGTGTATCTAGCACATGTGGTTGTTTATAAGCAGTACGGAGCGTTGAATTATTGATTGTGCAATATGTGTTGTTGGAATTTTATTATTTGATTTCTTTTTTAATGTTTGGGTTGTTTTTTGTCTGTTTTTTTTTCCAGCCTGCGCCATAGCCGGTTTGTGGAACTGCATTACCATCAATCCACTAAATATAGCAGCTGGAGTGTGGATGATGTGAGTATATAGGCAACCCAACACCCCTATAGTCCAACCCTGCAGAGAATTTCAACCCTAACAAAGCCATTGACTATTTTTCATTTAGAATTCTAATGCCAGAAGAGGTACTTTACAATGCATGATTCGAAATGTATTGGAAAGGGTAGTCTGGCCCATTGACAGCAATGTATCTAATGGGTTAATCAATAAAGAGTTTATACACAGTGGAGGTCCGATTCTAGGCCACAAAGCAGAACTGGAATAATTCTCCAACTCGGCTATGTTAGTCTGGCTGTATTGACGTAAAATTAGAAATTTGCTTTCAGTCTTCTACATTGGTGTTGTCCACAAAGTTGAGTTATTTTCAACTTAGGCTGTTGATATATAAAATTCAGAACACTCCTCTACTGTGGAGAGAACAAACTCAGTAGAAACCATCTGCGTGTCCCCTGAAGGCCCTGCACTTCATCTCAGATCTCTTCAGTATACTGATTCCTCCGGTTGAGCCATCTCTACCAACGTATGTGGCCCAATGGGGGAAGAGTTGGGTGAATCCCTCTCTCCAGCGCAATAACAAACCATATTCCTTCATATACATGCAAGTGCTCTGTATCCTCAAAGCTGCAGGAGACCGCTTTTAACTGTTATCACGATGTTTCCACCTGTCTCAGACAGGTGTGGGCAGGGTACGGGAACTTACACACACATTTGGCAGTCATGTCCTCGTCGTGTCCTCCTTTATTGGCGCACTATCCAAACTATTATTTCTCATGACTTGGACACTAAGCTTACCTCGGAACTAGCATTGAATTTTATTGCACCATACTGGATGTTCCACCAAGAAATATAAACATTCTATTGTTGGATAATAAATGTAGCTAAGCTCTAAAAGGGACAAGCTGCCATCTATTGGTGAATAGTATAACAGCGTGAGGAGATTGTCGATGGAGCTGTTGGTGGCCTCCTCTCATGGCAGATCAGACAAGGTGGCCCCTGTTTTGGCATACAAGATCCAGCACACTTACTCGTTCACTAAACCGCAATTTCAAGTTTCACAGAACTATGCCTGTTATAGCATCAATTGAATCTGTTTGTAGTCTCTGAAACCTTGAGGTCACTAAATCGATCTGCAGGATAGATTTAAAACAGTCACATTAAACAGACAATCTCAAGCTTTGTATGATAGGACCACGTTTACAGCATCCTTTACTGTACGTCTTAGCTTGCTACCAAAATCCTTTTTACGCACATTCTTTTATTTTCCAGGCTAAATGCGTTTGTGCTATTTCTCTGCGAAGCTCCATTTTGCTGTCAGTTTGTTGAATTTGCAAACACAATCTCTAACAAGGCGGACAAGCTGAAACCCTGGCAGAAGGCGTTCTTTTATTGCGGGTAAAGATTAAATTCTTCCTGAAATTACAGACTCTGCTTGAAATCATGTAAAATGTTTAATTTTGCCAATATTTCTGCATAGGGTGAATTAATACATGAAAATTCAACGTATGTACATTTTCATAATTTTTGTATGTATCCCTGATTTGATAGAGATATATATATATATATATATATATATATATACACACACACACGGTGTGTAGAGCATAGAAATACAATTTATTTGCAATCAGAATTGTTACATGTTTAGACATGACAATGTAATATTGAATGACATTTCCCATAATGCACAAATCCTGCCGCCCCTGAATATCTGCCTTTGTATTACTGAGGTGAAATATCAAACAAGGACAGAGCCCATACTACGTGTTGATCCATATACACTCCGATCTTTACTAAAAAATAATAGGTAATTCTGTATCTTGCAGATCTCCCACCACAGGAGGTTTGATATCGGGAGTGTGGGGGTTTGAAAATGTGTGCAATGCAGATTAACAAGCAGTTCTGCAAGCTTACTAACCATAGCAGCAGGACCGGGATCCAAAATTGACTTAGTCCTTCCAGATCACTCAGACCGCAATATCTTAAACCTCTTTAAAAATCTTCACCACTTGACTAGCTAGGCTATCCTGCTGTTATACTGAAAGTTAATTATAGCCCACTAGGTGGCAACCTTCACACACAAACCTCAGATTGTTGCACCATCCTTTGTTTAAAGTATGTATGAATGTGTGTGTGTGTGTGTATATGTATATATGTATGTGTGTTTGTTTAAACTTTAATTGTGCTGTCAACAGTAACTATGTCTGAAAAGATTTTTTTAGAATGGAAAGGTGTGGCCATGTGTCTTGTTTTATCTATTATACAGCAATGTGGATTATGTCGGCAATATATAAATAATTGTGATTTCTCGTATCCTTTGTGTTTTTAAAACCTGCATTCCACTTTCTTCACCACAGGATGGCAATCTTCCCAGTTTTTCTCAGTCTAACACTAACCACCCTCTTTGGCAATGCTATCGCCTTCGCTGCTGGAGTGCTGTATGGCCTCTCTTCACTGGGGAAAAAGTAAGAATTGGCACATTTTTACAACTTAACGTTGAATAGCCTGGTCATGTAAAAATATAGATATTCTAGCTAAAGCTGGTTTTGATCTGCAAACGGTGGCACTGTTTATGTCTGCGGACTACTGGTGCTTGGCGAAACCCGAACGATATCTGCTGTTGGCCATCACTGGTCTCTATAGAGATCAGATCCTTCCTGCTGTATATCGCTTCCATGGTCCATTCCAAACTGCTGGAATTGTTAATTGCAGACAGATGTAATATAACTTTTATTGATCTGAGACTGTACTGTTCCTTTGATAACCAATTATTTCCGTGTTGCGTTACAGGGGAGACGCCATCACTTATGCAAAACTTCAACAGGCTAAGAAGCAACCAGATGAAGAAAAGGCAGAAACGCCATAAGAACTAGCAAGAACGCCGGAGATCGCCATCCGTGGGAAACGTACACCTTTTAGATTTAACAAATTAATTTCCAGGATTGGTTCTGGTATTTTTTTTTACTTTAAACTGGATTTTTGCAGTGATATTTTTTTACAACAAAAATCTTTGCAATCCTGTGAGAAAAACCAGGGTGAAAAGGGAAGAGTCATCAGGATCGGAGTATCTTTTCTATAAATTGATGAACAAAATGTTGCGTGTTTTGTAGAGAGTGTTTTATTTTTGTGGGACGAGGAAATCTCAGACTAAAGGTTTTTTGGGTGCTCGAGATTATGAAAACTCTTTCTAGTTTCTTACTAAAAATCACTTTTTGTTCTTAACATTTTTCTTTCAGACTTTCCAAGTTTGTGTTTTTTTTTTTCTTCTCTTTCAAAAATGTTTTTCATTGTCAAGAAAACAAAACAAAACTATTCTGTAAGCATCCTACATTAGCATATTTTATACTGCAAATTTTAACAAATGTTTAAAAAACATTTCCTACAGTGAAACACAGACGTTACTTTGAATTCTATTCTGTTTGTAGAAGGGTGTATTTACTTACCTCTTTGTGTCTTCCTGTAAGGGATTCTTGTACAGGATCTATCCATCCAGTAAGTGTTTTGAAGATTATGTGGGGGTTTCAGTAGGCTCACGGTGCCTAGAGGATATTGGCTATACCTCACTGATGATGCCTAACAAGGTTGAAACGATCGTCTGGGGTTACTGTATCTCTCGTGCAGAAAGAACCGGCATCTATTTTAGATCTGTTCTGCCCTTGTGGGTGGAATAAGTCTGAGATGCATGTCCTGGTTCTCTCCGTAATGGCACAAGATGAGCTAAAACCAGCTTGAGAACTGAGCGGAGACCCACAGAAGGGCAGGCTAATTGAGCTGTTGTCCGTTTTCAGCACTCTCTTGCGACCTGTTTTTTTGCTCTCCTTTAGTAGGCAATTGTTTTATTTAATTAGTTGCGCATTAATGGAATAACTCTAAGGGGTCCTGATATAGCACATGTTTCATTCTCTGATCAGTCTATTTACAGTGAACAAGTGGTGATATAGAGAATATGCTTTATCATTGATCTAAACGTTAATAATCATGAATACTTTAAAAGGCATTGAGAAATACTGTAACTCCTTTGCTGCTGTTGGCATTGGTTTCTGATGCAAGCAAGGTCATTACAAAGGATAACTGACTGTTTGCAGACACCATGAGTTGTTGCTGTTTCTCCTGATTCGCTGTCCTTGGTTTTTAAGACTGTAAAACAGTGCAGAATAAGGGATGACATGACTGGGGGTAGTGAGAATTGTAGTCAAAGTGATGGCAAGCTGCTTGTTGTGTCGTTGTATGTTATTGCAACAAAATTAAAAGATTTATTAAAAAATGAAATTAAGAAATTGGAGATTTTAGGCCACATTAACAAGCTGTAAAGATAGCTCAATGGGAGAATTGTTTGCCGTTCTGGCCTAAAAAACTGCAATTCTTAATGAATGAACCTCCCTAAATTACGTAAGCTTATCACGGCAGCCATCCTGCCTGCTGCATAGTAACGTGAGACAAGTACGAGCTGTTTAATCATCTCACACTACAGTTTGCTTACTGAAATTTGCAATCATGTCTGCCCCGACAATAACATTGTAAAAGTGTTACCTGTTAATTCTTTGCATTGCAGAGTGACTGTGTACTTACTGGACAAAATGCTGGTTTTAACACTAATGGTTGAAGGAATTTTGCTGCTCAGGGCTGGAGATCAGTCTTATTCTGTCACCTTTTACTAATCTATAAACGGCAAAGCTTCCGGGTGTAAATCTGCATGGCCAGATTCATAGCGAAAATGGGACCTAGCGCTACACTGATATCTGGTCTCTGGATTTATCATTTTCTTAAATCAATGCTGCATTTATATTCCTCATTGCTGGATGCTAGGGCGCTCATCATATTTCAGCTTTCTTATAATGAAAGCTACAGAACATCTCAGGTTAGTAGTAAAATTAATGTATTTAGGAATAACTGCTGCTGTGTGTTTTAATGCAGCCCGCCCCATCTTTTTCCAGCACAATGATGTCTTAAAAAAATAGAATAAACTCTAGTCACTTAGTAATGACAGCTGCAAAACAATTGCTATCCCAGCTTTTTTGTAGCCAGTTATTCAAAACTGTCTTTGATAATGTTTTATTTCGTTAAATAATAACTGCACAATAACATCCAATTGCTGTTTTCTTGAACTGTTTATATTGTATTGTAGAATGGTATTTATTAGAATTGGCAAACACAGGTAACTAGCTAAACTGTGAAGAAGGAAGAATTCTGTGTGTTTGATGCCGTGTCTCCAATTTAGGGATGTGGGTACATACTAACCGTGGCAATGCCGAAGGGCTGGCTGAGAAATTGTCAAATATCTGCCTTGCCAGGGGTAGCTATTAAATTTACGGCTATGTGCAAACCATGATTTTTTTAAAATTTTTTAAACTGCCTGTTTGACTTTGAATTTAATGGTAACTATTTGCTTTTCGTATAGTAAGTGTATTTTGGAATCTGTTTTTACATTCTGTCTATGCAGTGAATTAAAGAGATTACATTTCTACCTCCTACAATGTGGGCTTGTTTCATTACGGTCTCATTGTAAACATCCAAATGACTTACTGTAAACCTTTCAATTGCTTTCCCATGATTCTGTGCTCTGCTGCAGGTTACCTACTCAGTCTGAAACATATCAGCTCACGTAATTTAGCAGTTTTCTCTAGTATCTATAATGTATATTTTCTCTATTGCGATTCTTTGGATGCCGTAGTTGGAAGATATGCGTTTGTGGGGTGTCACTAATTATGTGAGCTTAAAATAAACAAAGTTTTTAAAAGTTTATTAAGTTTAACAGGAAAGGAAAACAACACAGAAAATATAATTATGGTTGCAGGTGTAAAAATAAAAAGGAATTCAACAAAACACTAACAGTTTTTCATGTTCTTAGACTGCCAGAGAGCAAGGCTCTGCTATTGGCGCAGTAGGAGGAGCTACATCCAGGGTACATTTGGGAGACTCCCTACCAAGTCCCCACTCCAGCTAAAGACACACAAACATCTTTGGCTTTGAGATTTTATTTTTCCCCTCCCTGGGTCATTTCCTGCAATTAGATTGCCCCATTCTAGGATGCAAGGCACTAAGGCACCACAGGAGGCAATTGATGGACCGAGTAAATATTTCCTTTTTTGCCAGCCCAGACACCTTCATTTCCCATAATGCACGAGGCTTACATGTCAAAGGTGGTGTATCTGCCACCCTCTACTTGAAGAGATTTTTGTTTCACCAGACACATGGTAAGACTTCCATTTTGTGGGTGTCTAACATTCAGCCATTTTACTTTCTGTTGCTAAACAAAATACAGGAGGAAGCTTGAAAGGTGGTTTGTCGCATTCCTCCATCTACAGGTTGTGATCTCGAGACGCCAACACACATGGGTGTCTGCCTCCAAATCACAAGATCGATGTATAATAGGTTCTCTCCAGTAATTCAGTGTCTCAAGGTCTTCATTGGGTGAAACAAGCAACCATAGCTTAAAGCACGCCCAGTGATTATATCTAATACTTCATCAAAGTTGAAGAAAAGCGGAAAGCAGCCTGTATTCAGCATGGCAACTAGAAGTTAAAATCCACTATCCCAAGTGGACAATAGTGTGCTCCCGTACTTGAATGTTTGGGTCTTTGGAATTGGATGGATGACCTCCTTTAGTGTCTTGAAGCATTATTAATGTCTTTCTGTAAATTGGTCCGTGAGAGTGATGGAAGTTTGTTCTCCTATCTAATGAATGAACGACGTCCTGTTCTAAAGAAGGATTCTATTTGCTCCAAGGTCTGTCCTTTGGTCTGCGGAACACAGCAGAAGGAAAAGAACAGACCACAACAGCAGACCACCGTAAAGAAAAAGAAGTGTCTCTAGTCCCAGGGCATTCTAACTTTTAGACATAATGTTTAACATTCAGTAAGTCACAAGTTGTGTCAGTCTGTATGTTTAGAGAGTTACTTCAAGCACTCATGCTGTAGTAAATGTGATGCCGGTAGTGCCTTGGCCCCCTTTTTCCTGGTAATGGTGCAAAATGTTTTGTAACAGTTTGCTCTCTTACCTGGGTCCGCAAGGCACAAAAAGGGCCTGGTGGGTCTCCTGTGGCCACTTATGACTTCCAGCTTCTGTAGAGCTGTAGAAGACAGAAGTCTACCCTGCCATCCATTGATTGGCTGAGAGAGATATGCACAGCATTGACATTAAACAGCTAGGAACTACTTCCAGGCTGGCTAATGAGGCCCCTATGATGCTGTCTGAAATCAAGTTACTCTGTATTTTGCAGCATTTCAAAACACAGCACATACAGACGCCAGGCACCACAGTTACTTCAAATCACTGACATGGTCAAGGTGCTTGGAGTAACGATTCAACTTTTTTTTCATGAACACTACTATGGTTGAGGAATCAGCCCTCAAAGCCATGCACTAGAGACACCCCATTATTACAGTAGTCTGACTACAATTGTGTCCTAAATTCCAAAGTCCATACACTCACACCGGGGCAGACCAACTTCTTCTAAACCATAATCCAGTGTATCAAACCCGTGGAAGACCAGACTTTTTCCAGTGTACATTTCCATCTGTACATGTGCATACCAACCATCACTCTCCACTGGACAACACCCAGAAACACCATACAAGAATAATTATTCTATTTCTAGGATATGCCAAAATCAAGCCACAACCACTTGGTATCAATAGGCAGCGATTACTTACAGCAACTGGGAAAAAGGCCTCTGTGAGGGCGAACCCAGTGATCCAACTGACCAAGACACAGAAGCCAGAAGCCAATCCTCGTGATTTCAAGGGTAGAATCTCTGACATGAGCAGCCAAGTAATGGGTCCCCAGCCAAAGGCATAGCCTGGAAAATAGAGAGTGAGTCTACGGAAGATCGAATGGATCGTTCAACTTGCTTCTTGTAGGAGAAGCTCTTGGTCACCACCTATCTACCCATGCCTGACCACCCTCCGTATCCTGATTTCATTATGTTCTACATGGAATCACTGTAACATGTAAATTCATTGGACAATGTCCCAGCCATAATCAGGTGTTGATACATTTCACTACATGGAAATCATTTCAAGAGCTGTAGAACATATTATCATCCCTGATGCTCACCTATAACATAGACAATAATACAGATCAGCGGAATGAAAGACACATAGTTAATGGGATCTGGACATGAGCCTTGATTAGCTGTGATGACCGTGAGATTGGTAGAATTGTGATGATGGTCTATGTCCTTCGTGAAGTGGATGTATAGTCCCATGGCAAGAGAAGAGGCCAACATTAATGATCCTGAAAGAAACAGTCAGTGTCATAATGCAAACAAATACGGCCATGGATTCCTCTTGAGTCCCATGACCAGAGAATAAGGAACTAACTAATTGCATCATAATGTGGTTTCCTTGGACATCAGGAGTATCAAATATTATATGTGCAGAAATTCTCCAGTTTTTCCTTTTTTTTTCCAGTTTAGATATTTTAACTTTAAATGTTTTTTTATTCCCTTGTCTTCACAATTCCTTGTTTAGTGAATAAATCTCATTGGTGTTTCTGGGCCCTCGATTACTGGAGTTTGACATTGCCACAACAAAATTGCAATCTCCCAAACAGATTGCATTAAATAGACTTCGTTCCTGACTATTCGTCTACAAGGCCACTCACCAGACGTAAAGAGTAGTATTCTCCTGCCAACTTTACCCATAATGACTGCGGCAACCATCACCGAAGCTAACCTCGCGATTCCCACTATGGCAGCATCAATTCCACCTTTCTGATGAAAAGACAGAAAATATTTAGAAGAAAGGTAAGAGGACAATAGATTCACCCTAGATCTTTTTATATTGTTCTAATCTTATAAACAGAGTTTAGCTTTGACAACAGGTAAGAATCATTTGTGCCACCCAGTGGCCTGATCTGTATGCTGCTCACTGCGGGTCTGTATGCTGCTCAGTGCAGGGTCTGTATGCTGCTCAGTGCAGGGTCTGTATGCTGCTCACTTTTATTTTTAAGATTTTATGGTGCAGTGAATGCAGTGTGTGTTAGTGTAATGAATGTAGAGTGTGTGTTAGTGCAGTGAATGCAGTGTGAATGCAGAGTGTGTGTCAGTGTAGTGAATGCAGAGTGTGTGTCAGTGTAATGAATCCAGAGTGTGTGTTAGTGTAATGAATCCAGAGTGTGTGTCAGTGTAGTGACTGCAGTGTGTGTGTTAGTGTAATGAATGAAGTGTGTGTGTTAGTGCAGTGAATGCAGTGTGTGTTAGTGTAGTGGATGCAGAGTGTGTGTCAGTGTAGTGGATGCAGAGTGTGTGTCAGTGTAGTGGATGCAGTGTGTGTGTTAGTGTAATGAATGAAGTGTGTGTGTGTGTGTGTTAATGCAGTGTGTGTGTCAGTGTAGTGGATGCAGTGTGTGTGTCAGTGTAATGAATGCAGAGTGTGTGTCCGTGTAATGAATGCAGTGTGTGTTAGTGTAATGATTGCAGTGTGTGTTATTGTAGTGAATGCAGTGTGTGTGTGTGTGTTAGTGCACTGAACACAGTGTGTGTGTTAGTGTAATGAATGTAGTTTGTGTCAGTGTAGTGAATGCAGTGTGTGTGTTAGTGCAGTGAATACAGTGTGTGTGTTAGTGTAGTGAATGCAGTGTGTGTGTGTGTTATTGTAGTGAATGCAGAGTGTGTGTCAGTGTAGTGAATGCAGTGTGTGTGTGTGTGTGTGTTAGGGCAGTGAACAGTGTGTCCGTTAGTGTAATGAATGCAGAGTGTGTGTCAGTGTAGTGAATGCAGTGTGTGTGTTAGTGCAGTGAATGAAGTTTGTGTGTTAGTGTAATGAATGCAGTGTGTGTGTTAGTGCAGTGTATGCAATGTGTGTGTTAGTTCAGTGAATGCAGTGTGTGTGTCAGTGTAATGAATGCAGTGTGTGTGTTAGTGCAGTGAATGCAGTGTGTGTGTCAGTGTAGTGAATGCAGTGTGTGTGTCAGTATAATGAATGCAGAGTGTATGTTAGTGTAGTGAATGCAGAGAGTATGCATGTAATGTAATGAAAGATATTCCCCCTCCCTGATTCCATTACTGGTGGTCCGGTGGCATGGTGGGGCCCCCGGCTCCCTGTATTTGCAGAGGGGGCCCAGCGGACTGCAGGAGCACTTTACAGCATTTCCCTCTCTCTAACTCCCGCGAGACGTGGTGTGCGCGCCGCGCGGATCGTTGCCATGGTAACCCATGGCAACGCTCTAACGGCTGCATGTCTCGCGGGAGTTATAGAGAGGGAAATGCTGTAAAGTGCTCCTGCAGTCCGCTGGGCCCCCTCTGCAAATACAGGGAGCTGGGGTGGGGGGGTCCGCGGCTGCACATATATATAGCGATGATCGCTGTATATATGTGCGGAGAGTAATTGTGGGGCCCTGGACTGCCAAAGCAATCCGGGCCCCCCAGGACCGCCGGGCCCGTGACAACCGTCCTGGATGGTTGTCACCCCCTGGTGGCTGCCCTGCCTAGAGTACCTCCACACAGGCTGAATAATGTATAGTGTGCCCACATCTCTCCATACAGGTCTCAAACATGTCCATCTCTTCAGCAAGTGTTCCCATGAATCTATTTGAATATACTGAAAAACTCAGCCACAATATCCCGCTTCTTCAATATACCATTCTGAAGAAGCCTTGTTGATGAGGTAGGAGTTCTGATGATTTCCGAGCTATGAGGGGAAACGTGTTCTGTCTGATACTTTAGTATGCAAGAATATGCCTTACTTAAGTGGGCACGATGCTTATTTAATCTTTTCTTGAAGTTATTATTTTAGTTATAAAATAACCTCATGGGAATATATTATAACTAAAAATCTTGATGCAGATCCATCTACTTCAATATATATATATTTTTTTCTTATTAAATAACTATTTCATTTTACTATGAAACTAAATTTTTCAAGTAATCATGTGGAAGCGCCTTGTGGCTTAACTCCATTTTACACTTGTAACTTGAGTTTAGCTGCAAAATAGCCTGTTTATTTCATTCATTATTAGGAATATGTCTCTGTGGTTTATTCCCTATATATGGGATCGTAGTTGTTTTATACAGTTGCAAGAAAAAGTATGTGAACCCTTTGGAATGATATGGATTTCTGCACAAATTGGTCATAAAATGTGATCTGATCATCATCTAAGTCACAACAATAGACAATCACAGTCTGCTTAAACTAATAACACACAAAGAATGAAATGTTGCCATGTTTTTATTGAACACACCATGTAAACATTCACAGTGCAGGTGGAAAAGTATGTGAACCCTTGGATTTAATAACTGGTTGAACCTCCTTTGGCAGCAATAACTTCAACCAAACGTTTCCTGTAGTTGCAGATCAGACGTGCACAATGGTCAGGAGTAATTCTTGACCATTCCTCTTTACAGAACTGTTTCAGTTCAGCAATATTCTTGGGATGTCTGGTGTGAATCGCTTTCTTGAGGTCATGCCACAGCATCTCAATCAGGTTGAGGTCAGGACTCTGACTGGGCCATTTCAGAAGACATATTTTCGTCTGTTTAAGCCATTCTGTTGTTGATTTACTTCTATGCTTTGGGTCATTGTCCTGTTGCAACACCCATCTGCTGTTGAGCTTCAGCTGGTAGACAGATGGCCTTAAGTTCTCCTGCAAAATGTCTTGATAAACTTGGGAATTCATTTTTCCTTCCATGATAGCAATCCGTCCAGGCCCTGACGCAGCAAAGCAGCCCCAAACCATGATGCCCCCACCACCATACTTCACAGTTGGGATGAGGTTTTGATGTTGGTGTGCTGTGCCTTTTTTTCACCACACATAGTGTTGTGTGTTTCTTCCAAACAACTCAACTTTGGTTTCATCTGTCCACAGAATATTTTGCCAGTACTGCTGTGGAACATCCAGGTGCTCTTGTGCAAACTGTAAACGTGCAGCAATGTTTTGTTTGGACAGCAGTGGCTTCCTCTGTGGTATCCTCCCATGAAATCCATTCTTGTTTAGTGTTTTACGTATTGTAGATTCGCTAACAGGGATGTTAGCATTTGCCAGTGACTTTTGTAAGTCTTTAGCTGACACTCTAGGATTCTTCTTCACCTCATTGAGCAGTCTGCGCTGTGCTCTTGCAGTCATCTTTACAGGACGGCCACTCCTAGGGAGAGTAGCAGCAGTGCTGAACTTTCTCCATTTATAGACAATTTGTCTTACCGTGGACTGATGAACAGCAAGGCTTTTGGAGATACTTTTATAACCCTTTCCAGCTTTATGCAAGTCAACAATTCTTAATCGTAGGTCTTCTGAGAGCTCTTTTGTGCGAGGCATCATTCACATCAGGCAATGCTTCTTGTGAAAAGCAAACCCAGAACTGGTGTGTGTTTTTTATAGGGCAGGGCAGCTGTAACCAACACCTCCAATCTCATCTCATTGATTGGACTCCAGTTGGCTGACATCTCACTCCAATTAGCTCTTGGAGATGTCATTAGTCTAGGGGTTCACATACTTTTTCCACCTGCACTGTGAATGTTTACATGGTGTGTTCAATAAAAACATGGCAACATTTCATTCTTTGTGTGTTATTAGTTTAAGCAGGACTGTGATTGTCTATTGTTGTGACTTAGATGATGATCAGATCACATTTTATGACCAATTTGTGCAGAAATCCATATCATTCCAAAGGGTTCACATACTTTTTCTTGCAACTGTATAGACATATTCCTATTTGGGATCAAAAAGATTTAGGGACAGAATCAAATCCATGTTTCTAGTATGGCGCCCCAACAACCTGAATAGTCACCAACCGCCACAGATTATATATCATTTTTTTAAGGAGAAATAGGACTTTCTTTTGATTTCCTATATGTATACATAACGCAATAATAAATGGAAATAAATTATTAAAAATGGGAATAAAAAATAAAATTAAAACACATTTTTCTCAGTTTTGCATTTAATAATTTCTACATATCAAGTGCAACATAAGAAAAATTATTCAACGTAGATTCACTGATTAGTTCTGAATGATAAAATTCCCAATATTTCAAAGATTTCAATTCATTTTTAGAAGTTATAAAACAAATTATTCAACTACTGAATTATGGTTTTAAAGCTAAACTTTTGCATAATTTGGCACGTTGAGATTACACCTTTTATAGATTGGAGTAGTCAAAGAATCCACAACTCCTACATAAAAGTATATATTTGTAGAACGTACAATGTAATTGAGAGCATTTTCCTTTAACCACTTCATCACAAACCTACATCAAAATGTAAAAAAAAAAATATATATATACACGTGTTTTTCACGGATCACACGTGTCCCATTATTGAAACACCCTATATTTGTATTCTGCTACTGCTCTTGAGTACAATGATTGATTGACTGAATACCCTACATGTATATATTTTCCCCTAATCTTGCCTATAATACAATCCCTAATCCTACCCACAATGCTATGCACAATCTTACCCATCCCCAAATTCCACCTCCGTGGGATTCTCTCTACTGACATCAGCAGAGGGATTTCTCAGCTCACACAGTACAGCGGGCTCTGGCGGCAACTTTGGGGTTAAAACATTCAAGAACAGTTTAACCTCTTGAGGTAAGAGTGTGCAGGGGCCTCCTCTCATCATAGCGACTTCATTTAGATGAAGTTGTTATGGTGCCTTAAAATTAATGAACTTTCCCTTTAACATAATGTAAGTCAGCATGAATATGTCTTCTATATTAGCACAGAAATCAGGGCAGAGACTTTTAGAGTAGAACCACATGCCTATACTCCATTAGGCATTCTAGAGCAGGAATGTGGAACTGTACCACTGCTAGGCTAGCAAAGCACCATGAGAAATGTAGTTCTCAGTCCACAGTTGGCCATCCCTGTTCTAGAAATTGAGTCTGTTCACGAATTGCCATATTTGTTATAGTAAGTTTGCACACCTACATTTTTCTCAGTGTGTCTGATATAAAATCCTCTGGGGATCACTGTATTCACTGCCGTGCGAATTAGGACAAGTGAGTCCCTGCCATTTTCAAATGGATCTTATTGCTGCATGGAGGTTACTTTAAAAATAATTCACAAGACTTGCACCTGAACAGTACAAATGTCCCTGATGTGAGAAAAGAGAAAATATTCCTTTACGGTAATAGTAAAGTTTGGGTTGGGGAGTCATTTTGGTTTTTAAGGTGGTGGGACTAGTGCTACTAGAGTAACTTTAAGGGTTTAGAGTTATAAATGCAAAGTAGGCATTTCAGTTGTAATTCAGCTATTCGCAAACTTCACACCGATTCCCCTTTGTGAATAACCAGAGGAAGATTTGCTTGAAACAGCTGATTTTACCGATGATAACAGTGTTGGCTCTACAGAAAAAAATATATATATAGCACCACCGCATAGGACACAACCGTATAGCAAGGGGTAAAGCTATACACTGTATGTATACATAGAGCTATCCATTTAACTGCTGATTGCCCATTTATATAATATTACCACCTGCTGTAAATAGTGTCAATAAAACCGGATAAGAGACTTATTGCCAGAGTTATAACACATCCAGCCATTAAATTTACACCAATGGGGACAACTAGCGGTATTTATATCTTATGGATTGCAAGCTTTGTGTCCAACTAAAGAAGCCAATTACGCAAAATGTGTTTTGGGTATTGGCATATATGCTTAGTATTGTTTTGTTGTCACTTTTTATGTGAGTAAATGTACTGAATTGTTCCAAGACTCTCCTGGAAGAGTATTGTGTGACTTTTTTCATCATCTATTTGTAATTATATCCACTTTGTGCATCTTTATTAGGCTCGATCACATGCAAGCTGTACCAACAACTTTCGCCACTCAGAGTTCATTGGTTACGCTATGGGATGCATGTTACTATGCACTGTTTGGATTTTATTCTCCCCCCCTCCCCCCCATACATTTTAATGAAATCTGATCTACTAAAATTGTAGATAAATACAGAATTATCATTTTTCTTCTTTAGTGCTTTTTTTTTCTGGTATTTGTTAATCTTTCACATATCGTGTGTTTTAATGTAAAAGGGGTTTCCGATGTGTATTTTTTAGCAGCGTCAGTAGGTCTACATGTCACTATGTACCTATATATTTTTGTGCTGTACTGTAAGTGCATGAAATCTGTCTGATCTCTTTACCAAAACTGCTCTCTGATTCATTCTCACTGTTATAGGTGATGCTTCATTTAAAAATAGTTTTTAGTGATTTTTGAAAATGTGATTTCTGCAGATTGCTTTAGATTCAATAATGATTAACATGCATTAAACTCCATATTGATGCAAAAACACACTCTTTGTAAAGAGCTTTTAGAGGTCCATGTATAATAGTCCGTTCTCCGGACACCAAAATCTCAAGGTCTTCATTGGGTGAAACAGACATTACAGGTAACCACAGGTTAAAGCACGTCCAGTATTAACACATAATACTTCATCAGAGTATAAGGAACACTGGAGGGCAGCCTTCACTCAGTATTCAGTATGGCCACTAGTCGATAAAATCCACTATCCCCAGTGGACAATTGTGTGCTCCCGTACTTGAATGTTTGGGTCTCTGGAATTGGATGGATGACCTCCTTTAGTGTATCGAAATATTATTAACGTCGTTCTTTAAAATGGTCAGTGAGCGTTTTGGACGTAAGTTCTCCTATCTCATGAACGATCGACGTCCAGTTCTAAAGAAGGACTCTATTTGTTCTAAGGTCCGCCCTCTGGTTTCCGGAACACAGCAGTAGGTAAAGAATAGACCACAACAGCAGACAACCGTGAAGAAATAGAAAAGTACCTCTAGTCCCAGGGCATTCTAAAGGGAGAAAAATGATTGTGAGTTTCCTTGCAGACACAATGTTTTAACAACCAGTGATTAGTAGATAAGAAATAGACTATCAAGCACTGCAGCATTCAAGAGGATGTTCCCGGACCTCTGGTCATGTCCAATAACCAGCGAAAGATCCAAATAAAAAACAAACAGTCCAGCTTTCCTCAGCACTTAAAAATTCCCTTTAACATAACAGGGTCTTTATCAAGCTTGAAATGTTTATCTTCTGAGTACACATTAAAGGCAATTTATAAGTTCTGAGGAGGGGTGAACCATTTGGGTTTTTTTATTTTAACATTTAGTGAATCACAGGTTGTGTCAGTCAGATTGTTTAAACTTTTTTTCCTGGAAATTAACACAGTCGAGGAATCATCTCTCAAAGGTTCTGCCTGTATCATGGGCACTCACATTACAGCAACATGATTACAGTTCTCTCCTTCATTCCCTAGTCCATACACTCGTACTATAGCAGATTAAGACAAAACTCTAATTTTTCTAGTGTACATTTCCTATCTCGTACATGTGCGTACCAACATTACTCTCCCCAGTCTTCAATGTACGACATGCAGACACATCATACAAGTCAACCTCTAATATATCCAGAACATGCCAAATCTTGCCACAGCCACGCGGTATCAAAGCAGCGATTACTTACAGCAACTGGGAAAAAGGCCTCTGTCAGGGCGAACCCAGTGATCCAACTGACCAAGACACAGAGGCCAGAAGCCAATCCTCGTGTTTTCAAGGGTAGAATCTCTGACATTAGCAGCCAAGTAATGGGCCCCCAGCCAAAGGCATAGCCTGGAAAATAGAGAGTGAGAGATAAAGTCTACAGTAGATCGAATGGATCGTTCAACTTCCTTCTTGTAGGACAAGCAAGATAGAGTTCCTAGAGAGAAGATAAGGCAGAATGTGGAGACCAGAATATTGTTTATCCTGTGTATTCTACAGCAGCAATCACATTCTAATGTCTAATGATTACATTGCAGATGAGTGTACTGAGACATTGTGCAAGATACCCATACATATTAACCATGACGAACTAAAACCAAGTTTGAGTGGCTGCTCAAAGAATACATAGTTTTTTTACTCTCCCAAGAATGTTTCCTACTCTTAGCTAGTTCCACCTAGTTATCACCCAACTATCCATTCCTGACCAACCTCTATAACACTTATTTCCCTCTGCGGCAGATATAGTCACTGTAACATAAAATGTGTATTTAACTGAATAATATCACAGCCATAATTACATAGGCTGAAAAAAAGACTTGCTTCCATCAAGTTCAACCTTTCTCATTTGTTTCTGCTGTTGTTGAAAAGATGACTTTTGCAACAAACTAGGAGAAAATTCCTTCCCGATTCCAGAATGGCAGTAAGATCTCTTCTTGCTGTTACCCCATGTGTTAAATAGAATATCCTTGAATATTATGTTTTTTCAATAATTCATCCAGTCGCAGTTTAAAAATAAGACTAACCAAGGTAGAGAATGCCACATCTTTATTGCTCTTACTGTAAAAAAAAAACCCTTTCCTCTGCCTTAGACTAAATCTAATTTTTTCCATTCTAAATGGGTGACCTTGTGACCTATGTACAGTAGTATTAATGTATATATTTCCAGAAAATGGTATGGCCCCTAATATATTTGTATAATGTTATCAATTACCCTCTAGTCACCGTTTTTCTAAACTAAACAGATTTACATTTCCTAGCCTTTCTTCATAACTAAAATCTTCCATTCCTCTTGTTAATTTTGTAGACCTCCTCTGCACTTCCTTTAGTACCATAACATCCTTATTTAGAACTGGTGCCGAACATAAAATGGTACTTTCAAGTTGTGCTCCTCTTACCATTGCTTTATAAAGAGACATTATATTTATTATAAATAATCAAGTGATGATACATTTTGCTACACAACCTGATCATCCCTGGTGCTCACCTATAATGTATATCATAACACAGACCAATGGGATGAAAGACAGATAGTTGGTGTGATTTGGAGATGAGCCATGGTTAGCCATAAAGACAGTGAGATTGGTAGAATTGTGATGATGGTCTATGTCCTTCATGAAATGGATGTATAGTCCCATGGCAAGAGAGGAGGCCAGCATTAATAAACCTGAAAGAAAACAAAGTCTGTGTCAATGTGCAAACACATATGGCCATAGGTTCCTCTTGAATCCCATGACCAGCTGATGAGGAGCGCACTGATTGCATCATTGTGGGGTTTCCTTAGACATCAGGAGTGTCGATATCTAGTAGTAAAAGTGGATAGATGAGAGGCAGACAACCTTTGGCACTCCAGATGGATGTTGTAAGCTATGTCTCCCATTACAGCCATAATACTGGCAAAACATCAGGGGAGATGTAGTCCACATTATGTGGAGTGCCAAAGGTTGCCTACCCTTGGGGTAGATTGATGAAACCAAGATGGAAACATTTTCTAACATATCAAAAATTTTACTTAGCTAGTTAAGTCTATACCACATCCTTTTTTTTTCAGAAATAAGCACATTTTGGAGAAATGATAAGAAGATTGGAAATTGAAGGCAAAAACTTTAGAACTGCACGAAATCTTCAATTTTACTTTTTCAAGTTCTACTATTTTTGACCAGCCCTCCCTGGAGCACCTCTGCAAGACCACTTACCAGACGTAAAGAGTAGTTTTCTCCTGCCAGCTTTATCCATGATAGCTGCGGCAACCAATACTGAAAGTAACCTCGCAATTCCCACCAGAGTAGCATCAAGTCCACCTTTCTGACAGAAAATATTGAAAAAAAGTTCAGAGGACAATAAATACACCTTAGATCTTTTTATATTGTTCTAATCTTATAAGCAGATTTTATTATTAACACGGGCATCAGAAAGCTGTAGAATAAGCTTAGACAACAGGTAAGAAACATTTGTGCCACCTAGTGGTCCGATCTCCATCTCCGTCTCAACCTTCCTTCTCCATCATATACTGTATGCCCTTCTCAACAACAAGTATTTTTTAACTTATTCCCTACTGCGTAAAACTGCTGCAAACTCTTTTGGAATATTTTTCTAAGTCTCTACATTCCTTTCTGCAGTTAAGTATTGATATGAACTGTTACAAGTCATGAAGACACCAACTTCGAAATAGGTTCCATCAGCAACTTGTCCAATTCACCATAAAATACGAAATATGAATAATTTTGTGTAATTCAATGTACAATATGAAAGGAGAGCATTCCCAATTCTACCTTTTCAGCTATTTACATTTCTGGTCAAGCACTGACTTATGGTTAGGTCTTTTTCTCACAGCAGAAAGGACAGGAAACAACTCTGTGAAATTAGGTACTCCCTTTCAGATAGTCTTCTGCTCCTGTCCCTAGGAGGCCTGGATTTTATTTTATGTTCATCACACCAGTATTTATTCAGGTGTGGCCTCAGGCCAGGGTTCAGTCTTTTGCCCTTAAAGCCCCAGAAAAAGCACCTACGCCCCCTCAAGTGACCGAGGATCTGAACCTATATCTCCCCCAAGGAGATAATAATGGTTCATGAGGTAAGCCTATAATTTTCACAGATTAGGCTGTCTGTTTGTGAAATCCTTATTTTTCACAGTTACCTGTATCCTGGCTATTAATTTGTCGGCCTCTATCCTGGCTATATAACGTGTCATCCTGGCTATATAATTTGTAATCCTGGCTATATAACTTGTCAGCCTTATCCTGGCTATTTCATTTGTCAACCTCTATCCTGGCTAATAATTTGCCTGGCCTCTATCCTGCTATATAATTTGCCGGCCTCTATCCTGGCTATATAATCGGCCTCTATCCTGGCTATATAACTTGTCAGCCTCTATATTGGCTATTTCATTTGTCAGCCTCTATCCTGGCTACATAATTTGTCGGCCTCTATCCGGGCTATATAATATGTCGGCCTCTATCCTGGCTACATAATTTGTCAGCCTCTATCCTGGCTATTTCATTTGTAAGCCTCTATCCTGGCTATTTCATTAGTCAGCCTCTATCCTGGCTATATAATTTGTCAGCCTCTATCCTGGCTATTTCATTTAAGTCAGCCTCTATCCTGGCTATTTAATATGTCGGCCTCTATCCTGGCTACATAATTTGTCAGCCTCTATCCTGGCTATTTCATTTGTCAGCCTCTATCCTGGCTATTTCATTAGTCAGCCTCTATCCTGGCTATATAATTTGTCGGCCTCTATCCTGGCTATATAACGTGTCAGCCTCTATCCTGGCTATTTCATTTGTCAACCTCTATCCTGGCTATTTAATTTGCCGGCCTCTATCCTGGCTACATAATTTGCCGGCCTCTATCCTGGCTATATAATATGTCGGCCTCTATCCTGGCTACATAAAGCCTCTATCCTGGCTATTTCATTTGCCTCTATCCTGGCTATTTCATTTGTCAACCTCTATCCTGGCTATTTAATTTGCCGGCCTCTATCCTGGCTACATAATTTGCCGGCCTCTATCCTGGCTATTTCATTAGTCAGCCTCTATCCTGGCTATTTCATTAGTCAGCCTCTATCCTGGCTATTTCATTTGTCAGCCTCTATCCTGGCTATATAATTTGGTTTTCCTCCTCAGGTAAGTGCATCAGTAATTTAGATAAGTATAGGGGAGGCGTATGGATTTTCTGTAGACCCTAATACTTCCATTGAGGCTTTCTTATAACAAATGTGTCACATTTAAGAGGTTGTTGGTGAGCGCCAGGGTAAGTTGTGTATGTCCACTATTGAAGCTGGAATAAGAGTGCTCCTAATGGCTATACTTCATGGGAGTCTGCCTGTATATTACAGCACTGAGGCCAGAGGATAGCCTGTTTCCAGGAGGGACAGTGTGACGGACCGCCTGGCACCCCGACTGGGTACCTCCGTCAATCGCTGCTTCCTAGTAATCCTTGAGTACCATAAGCACCGCACCATACACCATAACCACCGTAAACCCCACAAACCGCCGCAGATTGGTTGGGGTCTTGCTGTCCTCCACCCACCCTGGACCCAAGACCAGGATCTAGCTTCCAGTGGCTAGGCCTCTCCTAGTCCAGAAAACAAAGCAGGCTGCTCTTACAAGAGCAATATTGTAAGCCAAGGCAGTATAGTGATTACAGCAATCCCCAGAGTGAATATAGCTCTTCAATGCCCCAAACATGAGCCTAGACTTTATATAGGGTAAAATGAATCTCTTTAATGGCAGCCACAACTGGCCTGTTCTTAAACCCTCTTAGCAAGTTTATATTGACACTAATTGTCACAATTTTTGGGATGATCAAAGAAGTCCCTGTACATGAAAACCACTTGTGGAAACTGTCAGGGATTCCAACCATGGGTTGGGTTAACCCCTTAAGGACACATGACATGTCTGACATGTCATGACTCCCTTTTATTCCAGAAGTTTGGTCCTTAAGGGGTTAAAGTGACACTCCACTGCCCAAATACACCATAAATTTAAAAAAAACACTGTTTAGTAGATATACCCTAAATTAAAACTTGCATGCATTTACAGTAATTATGTTTGGGGATATATCTAAAATCAGCTTGCAAAACCTGCAGTTCTTTTGTCTGCTGCCTTTGCAAATCCTCCCCTTCTAACCCCGCCCAGACTTTCTATGGCTGTCCAATCACAGACCTCCCAATGCAGCTCAATGAGGAGCTCTGGACAATTGCTGTCTCTTGAGGTCAGCTGCATTGAGCTAACGAAACCAGGAAGTAACATCTGTTTTCTCCTTAAAAGCCAAGGGGGTGTAACCAGGTTAATTTATAAAAGTGTCAATTTCTATTGAAATCTATGATTTTTGCAAACTGAGAAAAAGAGAAGGCACTCTTCCCACATAAAGCTTTTCAGCACGCTAAAGTTGATTAGGGGGCTGGAGTGACCCTTTAAGTGTCAGAAGTGCTTTTAGAATGGGGTTTAAAAGTCATATCATGATAGTGTACCAGTAGCAAAACATGTTCTCTTGGGTATTTTATATACATACCTCCTTTTATATACATATCTGGGAGGCATGTAATTGGGACCATGATGTGGGCCCTGAGGGAAGTGACACCTGCAGGTCTGACCAGAAAAGGAGTTGGCCGCACACTAAAGGGACATGACAGCCTGTCTGTCTGGCCACATCCAGACAATATTATGCAGCAACCAAGTGAGTAGCAATATTAATCCCTAATCCATTAATGTGGAATTTGATTATTATGGGCAAAAATGTCTATTTGGAAAAACCACAAGAGACATTTCTAAACCTTGGCAATTTTTACCTTAAATAGAAAACCTAGTTTGAATTCAATGTTTCCTGAATAACTCTATAGTATTTTCCGTAAATCTTTGCATCGTAGCGGTTTTCATGTTCTGTTCTATCTGCTAATATACTCTCTGCATTACAGCAGGCCTTCATGTAAAGGTTTGGTTATATCCAGGCACCGGGGGGTTAATACAGAGCAGAGAATAACACTCCATCAAAGCAGGAAAACCTTTATTTGTTAATCGGCAGCTGAGAGGGAAGTGACACTGAAAATAAGAGTGGAAAAAACAATATGTCTCAATCTGAGAGTGCGGTCAGTAGGGAAGTTAACTTTGTTCCATTAGTCCGAGTCCCTGTGTAATGAGTCATTATTAAAAGTTAACCATTAAAACCAACCTGTCATAGCAGCTTTATGTTATACTATAGCGTTAGGAATACGTACTTGGATTTCAATTTCCTAATGCTATAGCATCTCTCTCCGTAGCTTTAAATCGGTTACCCTCCCGTCTTACTTGGAATAGAAATGAGAAAGAAAAATTAAGATTTTATTACCTTTTTCCAGCACAGAGGCTCTCTCTTCCTGCAGCGTCATTGAGGAGATAGGACCGCCTTCTGCGTTTTTTCTAAGTCTGTGCTGCGGAAGTGCCGCTATTGGCTGTCATACTGACATCCCCTATGACACTGGCTATTATTTCCGCATCAGAACAGTAGCGCTCACAGCGGGAATTATTCACACGTAGTATAGCACCGGGATGTAACTACTGTGAGACAGAACAGGAGAACCGCCTTTAAGAGGGTTCTCTTGCTTTTCTCCTGTCACTCAATCTTCAGGAAAAAAAAAAGCTATGCAGGTGTCTATGGCCAAGATTTAATTTAATCCGAAATATTTAAAAATCTACACATTTGTTAGAATGTCTACAAGTTGTGGGCACAAAGGTCAGCATCTGCCTAGATAGTGAGCAACTGTTTCAGGAGACAAACAGCAAGTTCCTTCTCGCACTGATTGAGAATGTTCACGTACCCAAGATGTATGCTGAAATAACACTTTCCAAACACATTCTGTATAACATATTCTGCTAAAATAAACAGAATTTTAAAGGGTTACTCGAACCCTGTTTTTAACTTTATTTATTTTTGGTGTTTATTATTTGTTTGGCCCTTGTCCACTTGGTCCCCCAAAAAAGATAAAGCAAGCTTAAAAATTAGCTGGATTTCACCTCTAGCCAAGTTCTTTACAATCATTTCCACGATATTCACTCATCGTGCCAGGTCACTGTTTCCCTCTATGAGGTCAAATCAAATGCTTCTCCTAGAGAAACATTTGATTGGCCAGATCTCACAGGATACAGGCTCAGATTGCATGCATGGATTGATCTCAGCTCAGGGAGCGAGTGTGGAGAGGACAAGGGGGGTTGGTCAAACGAAGGGAACCAAAATAATGATAAATGAAAGAGCATGTAGGGAGGCTGGGAGGACTCACATGAGGTACGGAGGTGAGAACTACTGCAGACATTTAGGAGGACTGTGTCTGCCCAAACCACGTTCACACAGTTCTACAGACTTCTTGTAGGGGCCTCATTGCACTGCCTGCAAGGGAACACAATGATTATGCCCCTCTGCAGCTTGCAGTGCTGAATATAGGCAGATTTTTTGCACAGAACTCACGTTAGGCAGTCCAGAACAGAGATACAAGGAGATTAAGTATTCTGTGCCAGGGGTACAACCAGACCCCGGCACAAAAATGCATACTTCCCTGCATAGGCAGTAATTCAAACTGAAACACTGCACATATAAATTGCTTGCCGAAGTGATCACAGAGGTTGGAGTAACCCTTTAAGTGTAGGGCAAAGACACAGGTTTTTTAAGGTACTCACCAAAGCCACAGAGGTCCTCTCAAAGATTGGCTCCAGATATGTTAAGATTGATGAGATACCAGAAAGCTGTTGCAGGAATCTCATAAATATAGCAATGAGAATGGGCTTGTAGTAGTATGGATCCTTGATTTCAGCCCACGACAGAGAGTGAGTCTAGGGGATGGAAATGGACTTCATGAGACACCCGTGATCAAGAAACCTTCTTCAGAACTTCTGTGTTGCTCTCCTACACAACTGTATACTGAGCATTTCAGAGCAGTATTCATCAGACTAGAGTTTCACTATTTTATTTAATATCATTAACCCCTTAAGGACACATGACATGTGTGACATGTCATGATTCCCTTTTATTCCAGAAGTTTGGTCCTTAAGGGGTTAAAAAGAAAGTAACAGTACCTACTTTTCCCTCATAAAGGACAATAAACCTTTGATTTAATACTCAACCAATTTCCCAGACTCTAAGCTGAGGAACATCACATTCAAACGTTAAACCTCCTCCTTTCAGTTGAGGAGCATCCCTCATATAACCACTCAATTTTTGCTCTCAACCAAATAGCATCATATTCAACATCCAATTTCTTCATCTGAGAACCTCTTCATCTCAACCAAGCAGTATCGATTAAAGCTCCAAATTTCTTCATCTCAAATGAGAAACATCCATCCAACCTTTAAACCTCTTCTTCTCTACATAGGAAAATCCTATCCAAAAAATTTACTTATTACTTATATCCTGCTTTGCATTCTGTACATTCATTCATGTTCTCCAGAATACTGTACCATGCACATGGAGTTCTTAATTCTGTCAAATTCTTCTTGATACGCAGTGTCAGCCCCCCGAAGCCACAGCAGGGCTTTGAGCGCCCTCTTATCTTTGCCTTTAGAGATCAGGAAGCGAGGCGAATCAGGCATGAAGCACATAAGGACAAGCATTATAAATACAGGAACCTCTCCAACCACAGCCAACCACCGCCATGACAAGAAATTCCCTATGGGGAAAAAAAATGAAAACCTCAACAACAAATAATGTAAATAATGAGTGTGAGCTACAAATAAAAATTTGATTTTGCTGTTGTGAGATCCATGGAAATGCTGCCCCACAGTATGCAGAATCAATGTGCTTCCAGAGAGAGTTAATCATGGGTGGACTCCATGGAATTCCACCTTTCAGGCATATCTATTAATTAACTTCCCAACAGCATGTGGATCCAATAGCTGTCCAGAAATACATTGACCCTGGTGCACACTTTAGAAGTAAACAAGATGAGTATTCTAAATTCTGTTCAGCCCCAATACATTACAAAAAATAAACCCAATACAGTTTAATTGGTACATGTTGGTGTTATTTACTTAACAATCACCAAGTTTGCTCATTTTGCCTGAATTCTTCAAGTCAGGTATCATCTCACTGGTAACGTTCCTCCATATGGCTCACCTGTACCCTCACCTCATCTCCCTTATTACTGACATTCATGGATCCCCAGCCTCTGACTTGATTCTGGATTTTGATAACTGCTTCGAGTTCTAGACATGCCTTCGAGTTCTAGATATTTTCTATTTCCCCCAGATTATAAGACGCATTCCAGCCACAATGTTTGCAAGTCTTTGCTCATCTATTGCATTAGATGTCGATGCCAAACCACGCTTTACAAAAGGTAAAAAAAAAAATGATACATACCAAATGCATAAAGAATGAGAGCCCCACAAACAGCCATTATCTGGGGACAGGCTCCAAGTGCACCCCTGACCCCACCGTGGGAGATTTCCGAAATATATACCTAGAAAAATGTCAGAGAACAAACACGAAGATGAAAATAGAAATGCTTTGAGAATCAAGAAACCGTTCACTCGACGGTCAGCTCCAGTGGGTGGAGTTATGGGATTACCCTGTACTTTATAAAATGTATACCTTTCTGATGAAATAACTCTCTTTATTGAGTGAAAAGAAACACTTAGAAAAAAACAAGTTACCAATGCTGCGAGACAGTCTTTTCCCTTACCCAGAAAGGGTTAGTTATAACTACTATGAATTGTATGGAATGGCAAAACAAATTGTCAGCTATATTTCCGGCTTGGATTTTTTTTTAACTTAAAATGAAACTTTTCAGGAAACTATTTGCATCACTGGTTAAAAAAAATCAAAAATCATTTCATAATCCAGTTCAGTCGTGGCACAGCCAGGGCACGCTCTCTCTCTTTGCTGATTGAAAGCAGAAGCATAGAGCAGAACTTTTAATAATGATTGGCAGGAAGACAAAATGGTGGTACCCAGTTCCAGGATAGCGGTAAATACAGAGGTGTGGAATTCTACAAATCATTTTATTTTCCATACCTCACAAACGGGGTTGCCTTAATAGAATTCTAGGCACTCCAGGAAAGCAGTACACTGGGGCCCTGCCTACACAACCACTTACAGTAATGAAAACTTAAATTATCGATAAAATAAAGCTTGTATTTATTGGTACCTCCAACAAAATCAGTGTTTAAACAATCAGAAACATGCTGTACAGCAGAGATTAATCCTCACAAACATTTAATAGGTAGCAGGGGGAGGCAACTGACCTAACCTGTCTTGCTAATGTAGAATTAGTGTATGCTGTTTTTGTCAAGGTGAAGATATGTATTTGAAAAAGCAAGATCGCATGTACAGATAACAGCTAATACTGAGGTGATAAGTCCACCTAAACGGTTTTAATAAAGAGGGTTTAAAAGTTCTGAATAAATCTCCCGGAATATTCTACTGAAAAGTTGGCAAGCCTATGGGGCCCCTATGCTTGTGGGCAATTGCCCAGCATGCCCATTGGCATTGGACAACCATGCTCACAAATACACATTGTTAAATATGAACAAGTGAAGATACAATTAAAAGTCAGGGAAGTGACAATATCCATTTAAATTTGAAAATCCTCAGCAATTCCCAACAATCCGTGACTTAAAGAATAATGGATTCCTTTTAAAACATGTCTGAACATGTGTGAACGGAACTTGATGGACTCAACTGTTTTTTTTTTTTCTAGCCTGAACTACTATATGCAACTATGGATCCATGTGAAAAGTGGTGTAATTATGTTAGTTCGTGCAAGAGATTGCACCAGATTGCAAGAGATTGCACCATTATTTACACTTTCCCACTTATGGTTTTCTAAAATAGTAATCCTGGAAGGTTGATGAGGAGGCCTGACCGTATGGCAGCTTGGACACAACATGGACTTGCCTCAAAACTTGACTTGCCACGCATCTCATCTTGGTTAGTATTTCCCTTAAATGTGAAGGAAGTTGAATTTCAAAATCTCTGAGCCTCATTTTATCTTGTAACTAACTGTTGGTTAGTTACAGCTTGTGCCAACTTACCGGTATGGATGATGATGTTAGACCACTAGCAAAGCCGGTTAGAATCCTGCCCAGCAGCAACATGGAGATATGCTGGGCACTGCCCATGAGGAGGAATCCCACAGCCATTGGGAGGGCTGAGAACATGATGCTGAGTTTACGTCCCAGACGGTCATTCAATATCATGGAGCTGATTCCACCCAGGCAGGCCCCCAGAGCAAACACGGACTGGCAGAGAAAAGAAGACGAGTTAGGCCACCAGACTGATATTTTTCAAATGAAATATATACTTTCAAAAACCCTCTACAAGGATGAGTTGGTGCATTTAGTTATATGACGAGAGTAGCCAAACTGCTGGTTTCTAGAAATTCTGCATCTGAGGTAGACAAATGTGGGTAATGGATTGTGCCAGTTCTAGTTCCATAACAGTTCAAGAGCATAATTTGACTACCCCATGAATTACAGCCACCAGAATACATCATGGGAGTTTGAGAACATGAATGATGATTATTGGACATCTTTCAAAGTTGACTAATTTAAATAGCTGGGTAGTTTTCCAGCAGGGCATAAAATGCATTTGGATAAAGTGCCATCATTGAAGGTATGACATAGTATGTAAGTCTACGGTTGGGATATGCCGAAGTGACAGTCACACCTAGTGGATGTTTTATGATTAAAGTGAAGAGACAGCTACAGTGTCTCGGAGTCAAGTCACTGGTTGAATTCACATTACAAATAAACTCAGATATTCATTCTACGAAGGTCAATAAAATGAGACTGAATAGTCTAAGTATACACTGTGAATCTAGCAGCAAGTTACATTTATATTTTCTGCTTAAATACTTTGATAAACTACACTTCTGCTACCATGACTCGGAGTCACAGTTTCAATTCCTATAAAAGGTTAACTCAGATATTCATTCTCCTAAAGACAATAAACTGACAGTGATTAATCTGAGTATATACCAAGAATCTAGGAGGAAGTTACATTTTTAGATTTGTCAGATTTTCGGTTTGCCCATAAACAAATCTGTTTGTCCAAAATAACCCCCCTCCTCCCCCACCCTCTGTCCCCCTTGCCCATCATTAGCTCTAAATGGGTGGACTGTGTTTGTTTGTTTTGTGACTCAGCAATAGAATTGATATCTATATACTGAGAAAATCGATCCGTTGACTATTAACCAATTTTTGTTTGGAACCAATCAATTCATTAATAAACAAAGCGATTTTTGTGTCTCTAACTTATATTTTTCTGCTTAAATACTTTGATATTATTTGTGGCTGTGGACTGGCAGTATCATACAGTATAAAAACCCAGTTCTGCAGCTCTGGTTCCCTACACACAGCCCAGGGAGAAGATTCTACTGGATGATCCAATGTGACCTGCTCAGTCTGTCCATAAAAAGGAATATTATTCCAGCCATGCAAATGGAAATATTAATAAACAATCATTGCAAAAAAATATAAACCTACCCCAAACCATGACACTTCATTCATTTCAATGTGTAGATCTGGATAAACATTCTTCTCTAATGCTGGAATGACTGGAGATGGGTAAACCAGAGAATAGCCAAATGTAAAGTTTCCCAGAACAGCGGAAAATGCAGCCAGGAACATCTTCTTGTTATTAAGTGTCCTGAAAGGAGAATCCGAGAGAAAGGCACAAGGAATGAGGAAAGGGACATGGAAACCTGGGACATGGAATAGGAGAAAACAGGACACTACCTACAAGGATATGGGCACAGTCTGTTAGAAAGGGGTACTGCCTACAAGGATAGGGGCACTGTCTGTTAGAAAGGGGCACTGCCTACAAGGATAGGGGCACTGTCTGTTAGAAAGGGGCACTGCCTACAAGGATAGGGGCACAGTCTGTAAGAAAGGGGCACTGCCTACAAGGATAGGGGCACAGTCTGTTAGAAAGGGGCACTGCCTACAAGGATAGGGGCACAGTCTGTTAGAAAGGGGCACTGCCTACAAGGATAGGGGCACAGTCTGTTAGAAAGGGGGCACTGCCTACAAGGATAGGGGCACAGTCTGTTAGAAAGGGACACTGCTACAAGGATAGGGGCAGTCTGTTAGAAAGGGGCACTGCCTACAAGGATAGGGGCACTGTCTGTTAGAAAGGGATACTGCCTACAAGGATATGGGCACAGTCTGTTAGAAAGGGGTACTGCCTGTAAGAAAGGGGCACTGCCTACAAGGATAGCGGCACAGTCTGTTAGAAAGGGGCACTGCCTACAAGGATAGGGGCACTGTCTGTTAGAAAGGGGCACTGCCTACAAGGGTAGGGGCACAGTCTGTTAGAAAGGGGCACTGCCTACAAGGATAGGGGCACTGTCTGTTAGAAAGGGGCAAGTTACCAATGCTGCGAGAAAGGGGCACTGCCTACAAGGATAGGGGCACTGTCTGTTAGAAAGGGGCACTGCCTACAAGGATAGGGGCAAAGTCTGTTAGAAAGGGGCACTGTCTGTTAGAAATGGGCACTGACTACAAGGATAGGGGCACAGTCTGTTAGAAAGGGACACTGCTTACAAGGATAGGGGCACAGTCTGTTAGAAAGGTGCACTGCCTACAAGGATAGGGGCACAGTCTGTTAGAAAGGGACACTGCTTACAAGGATAGGGGCACAGTCTGTTAGAAAGGGGCACTGCCTACAAGGATAGGGGCACAGTCTGTTAGAAAGGGGCACTGCCTACAAGGATAGGGGCACAGTCTGTTAGAAAGGGGCACTGCCTACAAGGATAGGGGCACAGTCTGTTAGAAAGGGGCACTGCCTACAAGGATAGGGGCACTGTCTGTTAGAAAGGGGCACTGCCTACAAGGATAGGGGCACTGTCTGTTAGAAAGGGGCACTGCCTACAAGGATACAAGGATTGGGGCACAGTCTCTTAGAAAGGGGCACTGCCTACAAGGATAGGGGCACAGTCTGTTAGAAAGGGGCACTGCCTACAAGGATAGGGGCACAGTCTGTTAGAAAGGGGCACTGCCTACAAGGATAGGGGCACTGTCTGTTAGAAAGGGGCACTGCCTGCAAGGATAGGGGCACAGTCTGTTAGAAAGGGGCACTGTCTGTTAGAAAGGGGCTCTGCCTACAAGGATAGGGGCACAGTCTGTTAGAAAGGGACACTGCTTACAAGGATAGGGGCAGTCTGTTAGAAAGGGGCACTGCCTACAAGGATAGGGGCACTGTCTGTTAGAAAGGGGTACTGCTTACAAGGATATGGGCACAGTCTGTTAGAAAGGGGCACTGCCTACAAGGATAGGGGCACTGTCTGTTAGAAAGGGGCACTGCCTACAAGGATAGGGGCACAGTCTGTTAGAAAGGGGCACTGTCTGTTAGAAAGGGACACTGCCTACAAGGATATGGGCACAGTCTGTTAGAAAGGGGCACTGCCTACAAGGATAGGGGCACTGTCTGTTAGAAAGGGGCACTGCCTACAAGGATAGGGGCACAGTCTGTTAGAAAGGGGCACAAGGATAGGAGCACAGTCTGTTAGAAAGGGGCACTGCCTACAAGGATAGGGGCACTGTTTGTTAGAAAGGGGCACTGCCTACAAGGATAGGGGCATTGTCTGTTAGAAAGGGGCACTGCCTACAAGGATAGGGGCATTGTCTGTTAGAAAGGGACACTGCTTACAAGGATAGGGGCAGTCTGTTAGAAAGGGGCACTGCCTACAAGGATAGGGGCACAGTCTGTTAGAAAGGGGCACTGCCTACAAGGATAGTGGCACAGTCTGATAGAAAGGGACACTGCCTACAAGGATAGGCGCACAGTCTGTTAGAAAAGGACACTGCCTACAAGGATAGGGGCACTGTCTGTTAGAAAGGGGCACTGCCTACAAGGATAGGGGCACTGTCTGATAGAAAGGGGCACTGCCTACAAGGATAGGGGCACTGTCTGATAGAAAGGGGCACTGCTTACAAGGATAGAAGCACTGTCTGTTAGAAAGGGGCACTGCCTACAAGTATAGTGGGTAGTGTTTAAGAAGGGATAGTACCTACCAATATTGGTGCACTGCTTTTAGATGGGCACTGCCTGTGAGGATATAGGCACTCTCTCTAAAAAGGGGGCACTACCTACAAATACAGGGGCACTTTGTTTAGGGGTCATTACTTATGAAGTTTGAGGCACTGCCTTTTAGAACGGGGCCCTGTTCACGCCAATATTCTGTATATATAATTATTATTTATTTATTTTTATTTTCTTGGGAGTTTTACATTTTAATTAGAGTGCTTGGATTGCTCATCACATATTTCAATCATGGGGATTTGTTGATACCCTTATTCTAAATTAAAAGTTTTATTTATCCTTCCACCAAAAACACTTCTCTCCTATTTACAAATTAAGTTGTGACTGGCTAAGTCTGATGTTCTTAAAAAAAGTGTTACACTTTAGTCCCATTAAAAAGGTATTATCTATGTGCTATGGATTTATTAATGTGGGGCTTGGGACTCAAATTAAACACTAGCCAGAAGTTTACCCTTTGTTTATGTTGCTGGGCTTATTGCTTAAACTTGCACTTAAATTATTATTTCACGTTTTTTATAGTAGCCTCACCTCTGATAGCTTGACTAAGGCAACTTAAAATTCCAGACGAGGCAGAAATTGATTTAACTAAACTGCCTGAATTGGTCGTGCGAAAAGATGGCTCACACCCAATCAACTCATTTATGTCCAGGTTTGGGATCTGTGGGACACATTCCTAGCGAATTACTTTGCTGCTCCTAATTGGATGTATCTGGGTAGCTGGTCGTGGGGCCTCACTCCGGAGTTGCATTTTGTGCTGTGAATCTGTGTACACTGGATGCCTGGATTTAAAGTGCATCCCTTCTGATTTGTGCTTCTTTACCCATGCTGTCCTTAAATTGCTTTGCGTTATATGGTATTGTGCTTATGAAAATTAAATAAAATATTCTTGCAAAAATATATATATATAAAGGACACTGCTTATGGAGATAGCTGTCTGGTTAGAAAGGAATTCTACCTAGTAGGAATTGGGTACTGTCTGTAAGATGGCACTACCTCCAAACATAGGGGTGCTGTCTTACTACCTCCAAAGATGGGGGTGCTGTGTTTTAGGGGGCACTACCTATAAGAATAGGGGCGCTGTCTATTAGAAGTGGGCACTGCCTACAAAGATTGCGGCACTTTCTGTTATGGAGACAGTACCTATGAGAATTAAGGCACTGCCTATGACTTAAGGGGCAGTGTTAGAAATTTTATTTTGTAAATTGAGTTGTGTTGCCGTATTCTGCTTGCGTTATTTATGGGTCCTGCAGTTGCCTTTGTTAATGTTGTATGTGTGGGCTCTTATATTGTACAGTACATGTTCATGAGTAGTTTGTGGCATTGTATGATACCTATGAATGTGGTCTGTCTATTGGCGGCTGTTTGTGGGGTTGTGTGTGTGGATGATATGTCACATTGTGTGTTTGGTGTGGGTTTGTGTGGTACTGCTTGGTGTATTGCAGGTGATAGGCTGCTTGTGGGGTTGTGTGCATGTATGTGTATTGTCAGTGGTGTTGTGATTGTGGGGACTTTTAATGTGTTTGTATTTGTTCTGTTTCTATTATTTGTATGACGGGGGGGCTTCCCTGGGGTCCAGTGAGGACCGGGCTGGCCAGGTACAGTTCAAGTGCAGGAGCTGTGATAGCTGCTGCGGACTGCTCTTCTCCAGTGCCGATTTCTGTTCACAAGTGCTGGAATGAAGTGCTCTGAGATGACTTCCTCTAATTGCTGCAATGCGGAACTTGAGGGTTGCCCCTAACCACCTTCAAACTCTTCTCGGTTTGCACTAAGGACTCCTGATAGCTCACAGCCAGTTTGGCTCTAGGAGCCTTGAGGGCCGTGCAAAGGACCTCACGTGCCATAGGTTGCTGACCCCTGGTCTGGAGGATATTGGCATTGTCTGTAATAAGCAGGCACTACCTACAAATATAGGGGCACTGTCTGAAAGAAGGGGGCTCTGCCTATGAGAATTGGGGTACTGTCTGAAAGAAGGGGGCTCTGCCTATGAGAATTGGGGCACTGTCTGAAAGAAGGGGGCTCTGCCTATGAGAATTGGGGCACTGTCTGAAAGGAGGGGGCTCAGCCTATGAGAATTGGGGCACTGTCTGAAAGAAGGGGCTCTGCCCATGAGAATTGGGGCACTCTCTGAAAGAAGGGAGCTCTGCCTATGAGAATTGGGGCACTGTCTGAAAGAAAGGGCTCTGCCTATGAGAAGTGGGGCACTGTTTGAAAGAAAGGGGCTCTGCCTATGAGAATTGGGGCACTGTCTAAAAGAAGGGGGCTCTGCCTATGAGAATTGGGGCACTGTCTGAAAGAAGGGGGCTCTGCCTATGAGAATTGGGGCACTGTCTGAAAGAAGGGAGCTCAGCCTATGAGAATTGGGGCACTGTCTGAAAGAAGGGAGCTCTGCCTATGAGAATTGGGGCACTGTCTGAAAGAAAGGGCTCTGCCTATGAGAATTGGGGCACTGTCTGAAAGAAGGGGGCTCTGCCTATGAGAATTGGGGCACTGTCTGAAAGAAGGGGCTCTGCCTATGAGAAGTGGGGCACTGTCTGAAAGAAGGGGGCTCTGCCTGTGAGAATTGGGGCACTGTCTAAAAGAAGGGGGCTCTGCCTATGAGAATTGGGGCACTGTCTGAAAGAAGGGGGCTCTACCTATGAGAATTGGGGCACTGTCTGAAAGAAGGGGGCTCTGCCTATGAGAATTGGGGCACTGTCTATAAGAAGGGGGCTCTGCCTTTGAGAACCAGGGCACCAGGGATGGACCTTTACAAACAGAAAGCAGTTTACATTCCTGAAATACAGTGACCAGATGGGAGGCTAAAATCTTAAAGGTTTTTAAACAAGCCCAGAGTCTGGAGTTCACACAGCCAGTGTATACATTTATTAACATTTTTTTATTTTTTTATTATTAGAATACATCTAGGGCTCACATCCTATAATGTTAAGAGATCAATGTAATAAAATGCTGCAATCCGGCTGCAGGCAGTCACAGTGCCTCAGTGTTGTGTCATTTTGTGTTCATTCTAATTGCTCAATCTCAGACCTCAAGCATTGTAACATCTCTCAGACCTGATGGAAGAGCTGCTTTGGCCCAGCAGTGACTTTACTAGACGTTGTAATTTCCACAACATGACATAGCACAGGAAAAGATTTGCAGGGCCTCCCATAACTTCCAATAATGTGCCAAATGTGACAATTGAGAGACATCAAAAAATTATTTAGCGGAATCCCCAAAATGTATCAAATCTGAATTTTAACAGTTACACTGGGCACTCAAGTATATGTATTAAGATTAAATGTTTTATTAACCCCTATTTGGTATCAAGAATCTGGTAAAAGCCATATATAATATTGTGTACCTGGTAAATACAATATATTCTCTATAGTATTCATTTATTATAGCACTGGGTTTCTGAATGTACAATACATACTTAATTGCCGTGCTTAGCCCCTGTTATATATTATAATTTTATTGTAGCACTGGGTGCCATTATATACAATATATATTATATTTTACTTTATAGCAGCGATGGTCCCCTGGTGTATATTATAATATTATTTAGCAGCGATGGTCCCTGGTGTATATTATAATATTATATAGCAGCGATGGGCCCCTGGTATATATTATAATATTATATAGCAGCGATGGGCCCCTGGTATATATTATAATATTATATAGCAGCGATGGTCCCCTGGTATATATTACAATATTATATAGCAGCGATGGTCCCCTGGTGTATATTAAAATATTATATAGCAGCGATGGGCCCCTGGTATATATTATAATATTATATAGCAGCGATGGTCCCCTGGTGTATATTAAAATATTATATAGCAGCGATGGGCCCCAGTTTTATCTGTTGTTCTGGGACATAAAATTAGTACTTACTTGACATATGCTTTCTCGGCTTCTCGCAGAGTTTTTCCCACAGACTGATAGTGAGGTTTATTGGAGTCACCGAGAAGCGGTTGTTCTGCATTATCCATCAGTAATACAGGTGATCTATAGATATATCTATTGTGCGATGTGCTGCTCTTGGTCCCAGTGATACAGGTTATCTATAGATATATCTATTGTGCGATGTGCTGCATCCGGTCTCAGAGATACAGATTATCTATAGATATATCTATTGTGCGATGTGCTGCTCTCGGTCTCAGTGATACAGGTGATCTATAGATATAGCTATTGTGCGATGTGCTGCTCTCGGTCCCAGTGATACAGGCTATCTATAGATATATCTATTGTGCGATGTGCTGCTCTCGGTCTCAGTGATACAGGTTATCTATAGATATATCTATTGTGCGATGTGCTGCTCTCGGTCCCAGTGATACAGGTTATCTATAGATATATCTATTGTGCGATGTGCTGCATCCGGTCTCAGAGATACAGATTATCTATAGATATATCTATTGTGCGATGTGCTGCTCTTGGTCCCAGTGATACAGGTTATCTATAGATATATCTATTGTGTGATGTGCTGCGTCCAGTCTCAGTGATACAGGTTATCTATAGATATATCTATTGTGCGATGTGCTGCTCTCGTTCCCAGTGATACAGGTGATCTATAGATATATCTATTGTTCGATGTGCTGCTCTCGAGCCCAGTGATACAGGTTATCTATAGATATATCTATTGTGCGATGTGCTGCTCTCGGTCCCAGTGATACAGGTTATCTATAGATATATCTATTGTGCGATGTGCTGCTCTCGGTCCCAGTGATACAGGTATCTGTAGATATATCTATTGTGCGATGTGCTGCTCTCGGTCCCAGTGATACAGGTGATCTATAGATATATCTATTGTGCGATGTGTTGCTCTCGGTCCCAGTGATACAGGTGATCTATAGATATATCTATTGTGCGATGTGTTGCTCTTGGTCCCAGTGATACAGGTTATCTATAGATATATCTACTTCTCATGATCTCCTAGAGCCCAGACTGATAGCGGAGTTTGCTCTCTGATCTTTTAATCTGGGTTATAAGACTTCCACTCCAAATCAAGTTATTCCCTGCTTCTTCTTTTTATAGTAGGTTTTGGGAGGGAGGAGCAGACTGACAGCCTCGGAGCATTGTGTAACTTCGGAAGCTTTGTACATAGAATATCATGCACAGAGTACAGTATCCCTTCCTTAAATCACACACAGCCAGTGACAGCAATGGCTAGCTCACACAGAACTCATCCCAACATGGACGGATTTTGTGAATCTCTCCAAGAATCCTAGTGCTCTATAACAATAAAACTCACAGTAATGTGCAGTGTGTATTAATATATCACAGAGCAACACAGTAATGTGCAGTGTATCACAAAGCTCGTAGTTACATGGGCTAAAAAAAAGACTTGGATC